CTCACAAAATTTGTTTTCAAATTTTTGAACTAAGTTTGCATTTTGGTGAGAACTTCTGGCACCAGTATGACAGAAGATGTTTAAAGAATAGTATTCATCAAACAAAACGAACATTGTTCAATTTAGGAAGAAACAAAATGTTAAAATGGCTAAACGCCTCACAAAATGGCCAAAATATGCCTCACAAAATGGTTAAAATTTAAAACTCCTTTTATTCAATGAAACCATAAGTCTAAAGTATTCACAAGCTATTTATCATACAATAACACCCCAGATGGAGTGTTTTTACAGCGGAATGAAGGTTATAAATCATGAAATCAGGGAATATGAACAACGCCACACAAAATGGCCATTTTTGGTGTAGGAAATTATGCCCATTTTATTCAGTTCTAAGAAATTTCACCTATATGGGGGTGTTAACAAGGCATATTAATACCAGCAGCATGCCTGAAACAAGAGCCAAAGGTTTTAGAAAAATAAAATTTTCTCGTTTTCTTTTTTTTTTGCCATTTTGTCAGGCATTTTTTCTTTTTTGTGAAATAATTTTTCACAGCTCAGTTTTTTCGTGAGTTTTAGGTTATTACCCCATTCCTTAATAGGTTTTCTAAGAACGTGTGGTGATAGAAATTTAAAAAGTATCTCCATCAACAAAATTATAGAAATTCAGATTTGGCCATTCTGTGAGGCATGTTTTTTTGGAGGAAGATTTTCCAGCCAATTTTTCTCAAAGAAAAAATGGTTATGAGATTAAATGAACCCCCGGGAAGAAAAATATGAGTGTCAACTTAGCTTCTTATGAGATAAAAACTGGAATAAAGTGTGTTTTGTGACTTTGAGAGACCTTCCTTTTGTTTGGCCATTCTGTGAGGCAAATACCCGTATGTCCTTCCTTTTAGGCCCGTCCCTCTCGATCTCGACAAAGAAAATAGCCCTTAAAATATAACATTGGGAAAGGTTATTGTAATGGTACTAATGTCAAACTCGCTATTTCTTTGTGCTGTCTCATCAGCCTGGGCACCTATATTTAAATAGTTTGATCACTAGCCCAGGAAAGAGACTGGCACAAAGAGCCGTAGGTCGGGAGGGACCTTTACAATGGAGAAAGCAAGGAACGAGTCCAAAATATTGTACTATCCACGAGCAATGAGAATTACTTATTGGTTTCTAGGCGTCATCGGAATGCCTCGCAGAACATTCCTCGTCGGCGAACGATAGCCGAAGGAAAACTGGTGGACTAGCGAAGCTATGTGTGGCACACTTAGTCTTAGACACCCAAACGAAACGTTGATGTCAATCAGGTATAAGTTGAAAGGGCTGGAAAAAACGTTCAAGAAATGAGCCCGAATGGTCGGATCTCCACTTTTAGGGTCTGCCCACATTACGCCTCTATTCCCCGAATGTCTGCCCACACTACTTCTGGCACGGATTTTAAAAATCCGAGCTCTGCCCACACTACGCGCCTCGTTGTGTGAATCCAGTTTTTTTGACCCACGCCATGTGGCCCGTCAGAACATGGCGTAGTGTGGGTAGACATTCGGGGAATAGAGGCGTAGTTTGGACAGGCCCTAAGAGCCACTCGTTGAATCGTACGGGGTGCACCTGGGTATCTGAGCTAGGTGGATCTCAGGTGTTTTACATAATTTATTTAAAGTTGGGCGGAATGGCACCTCTTTTATTGTTGTCTTATAATGCTTAAGTCTTAACCAAATTTTATGGTGATGACTCTGACCCTGGCCAGGGTTACAATTTGTCGGGCATTGTCTAAGCTGATTTGATACAGGCTTCCTGCCCCCTCCCTCTCGGTAGCTTAGAAAATAGAAAGCTCCTAAAGCTATTAATATTCAGTAGGTAGATGTTAACGTTAGACATGACACTCAGCATGATGATTACCTCTCCAAGCAGAGATATGAGGTCTGCAAACCAAGGTGTTATGAGATAGCATGTGAGTGCTTGGAGAGCAAGGTACAAATTTCTTTAAACTCGTTAAATTCTGTTTAATATCCGGCCAAGCACCTTCTAAACTACTTACTTTAGCCGTATAATCGATCTATTCCTAAATAGTATCACTATGAGAGTGAAATTGAGTGGATTTTGAATTAAAACATTGTCGAATTGGTATTATTCTAGAGGAAGAATTCAACCATAATCATTTGGAATTTGGAAATCCCCTTTCTGATTACATAATATGTGAACGACCCCTAAGTCAACAATTTTGAGCGTTTTCCTGGAAACCACCTTTCGGCTTTCTCCACAGTTCATATCATTCGCAAACTCAGGAGTCTTTATAGCTTGGTTGTTTCAATACAAGAAAAATAGCAGATTAAAAACGATTCTAAAATAGTGACCATTATGAAAAACAACAAATGTTTCCACAAATATACAATAGATGTAATAATGATACAGCTGTGATAACAATCTAATAATCTTGGTTGTCATCCACCAATTTATCAGATAAATCTGAATAGCGAATATAAAACTGAAGATAAAACATTAAAAACAATTTACTTTACATGCTACTTTTATAAAAAGGAAATCCATCGCTTGGATTAATTAAAATATTCGTACTTTAATTTTATAAAAATTGTACAATCAACGTTCCTCTTCAAAACTAACGAAAACAAAATCCCAGGGCTTATTCTCAGCCCGTATTAAAATACTGTCACTTCCAGAACTTCAAGATAGCGTACATTATCACAACAAGAACAAACAGACCACTGAGTGCCACTGAGTGGAGCCATCCAATCCCAGGGTGCAGAAAAGAGTTGAACGTCATCAGTACTACGCTCAGGAACATGAGGAGGCCATGAGTCCCTCTTCTTTTAGATGAGTTTCTGAAGGGTTCTTTGAGAGCGTGGGGTAAGAGGTTCAGCACCTGAAGCAAGCAGCTGTTTAGAGTAAAGGGGGGGGGGGGGGGGGGGGGGGGGGGGGGGGGGGGGGGGGATTTTGTAATTCAATAGTCGAATAAAATAGTATACAGCCAGTTATTTAATAGAGATGTTGTGTAAGAATGCTTTTCATACAAAGTTATAACAAAGTCTTCATGGAATGTATCCTGGGTTTGGACAGGATAATACCCGCTTAAAATATTTCGCGTTACATAATACTGAAATATAATATATTTACAATAAATTATGCAATAACAACATTATAATCAACAAAATAAATTTAATCACAGAATCTCATATGACATACCTGAGTGTTATCAGGCCTAAGAACTCCCGCTGCTATGGTTACACAGAAAATAGCGAGTAGGTACATCCTGTCGATTAGAGTTAAAGGTAGAGCTATATATCTCCCTGAAAATAATTCGGGATTGAGAACATTTTATTTTTGTATATAAAAATAAAATAACAGAGTTCTATATTATAACACTGACAGTAAATAATCTTTTAATTTTCAAGAATCTCTAAATTTAGACTCACAATATTTCGCAATAATATCAGAATAACAAACTCCAGTATGAGAACTAAGAACATTACCTGTAGCCACCACCATGATCGGGTGGATTGGTCCACAAATGAGTCTAGGTTCTCTGAGCAGCTCCTTTAACCCAGGCGGAGATCTGATGAACTGGGTCATTGCTCCGATTAGGGATATGGTGTGCAGGGTAGAGAGGGCTGCTGTGGAGGCTAGGTACAATGCTGAAATAGTGAGGGGATCACTTGTCAAATACCTTCAGAAGAATGCTGATGTAAGGAATTCAATTAATCTGTCATTTAGATGTGGATTCTGGTGGGACGCATATTTTCTTGTCACGTGACAGTGATTCTGGGATTTGCTTGGCAATAGTGGATGCTGATTGGTTAAACTCCATGCTTAGCTGTCTTGTGTCAAAAAAATGCTTCATATCCCAGATTCCACATCATGGAATAATCAAAATGTAATCTAAATTTATCATGACTGCGAAATGATGATCACCTGTTTGCACTTAGCAGTAACAAACAGACGTAAACATTGAAATGTCCCACATTTAGCACATAATTAGACTTACCGAGCGCTGTGACTAGCGTTTTTGTTTTCTGCTCTCCAAGAAACTCGTTATATCGGATTTGGGTGGCTGCCAAGACGATTATCACTAACGCTGTAGTTACTTGCCCTGAGGTGATGAAGCTATGTAATACTGGTGAAACTAACAGTGATAACATCTGACTAATGCTAATAAAGCAAACAAAACAATATTATTCATGTGTTGCAATTCAACTGAGCATGTAATACGATACAACTTGTCTGTATTAATTAATCAATGAACAATAAAAAGACTACTTACATGTGTAAGTAGGGAGTTGGTTCTGAACCAGTAACGAAATTAAAATCGCTAGGTCAACAGCTAGAGCTTCACCGTGTTTTTTAAAAGAGAAGGTTCTCAGATAAAACAATGTCAAGAATCTGGCAGCCGTGAGAAATGAGAGAAGGAAGCAAATTCTATAGTGCTTCACGGTTATGGTTGGGAACAAGGGCATGATCGAGCCGTCGGGGCATGAATCGGTTGCATTAAGCGGTATATTAAACATTGCGAAAAATATTATGCTGGGATATTTGTTGGGTGCGGTCTTATATAGCTGATTCTGCCATCTCCTTTGCCAGCCAACCGTACATTAGATCATCATGATTCATGTTACTCATGTTACATCTTTAAAATGTGCCACTCACTTCGCCAGCCAAACAGTAAAAACGTATATGCATTTTTTTCTTGAGTACACGATATTCTGAAGTACATTCTTCTTCAGAAGTGTTATTAATCAGAGTTTTACATATTAAGTTATTGTTTGTTGAGCTGACATTATATGCCTCTCTTGTATGTTATGTTCTTGTGGTGCTTCTAATCAACGAATGTTCAATGTTCAGTTCTATGAGTCTAGCTTAACAATAACTAGGATTAGTATGGAAGGAATTTTGATACATAATAATATGTAATCAGTAAAATTTTAAAATCAAGTACTCCTGTTATATTCGTGTTATGTTTGGTGATTATTTAAACTTGACACATGATTCTGTTTCAGGGGAGGCAACTGAAGACTCTGACCCCAACTTCTACAGTATGAAACAAGCTTGAAAAGATTCCACAAGATCGTCTTAATCGTTCTATATGAGTATACCCGATCGAAAAACATCATCAAGAGAACTCGAGAATTAATTCTGATTTAGGTGAATTAAAACGGTATGCTGTGAAAATAAACTGACTTTAGCTCGATTTCGTCAGTTGGATAAGTATTTAGTGTTTGTTTTTTGAGATCTGACTGATGATAAACATCGGAATATGCGCACATTTTTATTTGAAGGGTTGGCTGGTGTTTTTGTTTTGTATTTACAACTTTGCTCTAATAATATTCGCTTATGTCTAAAGCCGCTTTTTAAACGTGCATATGATTTTTTGGCGCAGCCCTGTTTATTAAACATGATGAAAATTTTATGTTATTAATTAGTCTGAATTAATTTATTTCTTACCGATGCTTTGAACGTTTTTAGTGCCCGAGATTTATCATATATAAAGAATATAGTCAATAGTCAATAGTCATCGCAATTTTATTATTTTATACAATCAAGATTATGCTTTTTTCTACCTGCTACCGAAAGTGAAGACTTAGAGTAACGATAAAATATTAACTTGAGATTTGAATAGCTAGTATTATTGGTGTGATACAGCTTGTTTACGACACTGTTAATAAGTTTTAAACCCGTTAATAAGTTTTAAACCCGTTAATAACTTAAATACGCTTTTATCACAACAGCTGTTTAAGTATGGGTACTATATCTAGATATAATGTAAGATTAATGCGCACTTTTCCAAGATGGAACAATTTTTGCCGGTTTCCATATTCCATATATATGTCGTATAACTATAAGCAGGTCTTTTTCTAACCCTAATGTTCATCTTTAACCTTGGTTTTATGTGCCATAACATTTCCCGTTTAAATATCAAACCAAGGGGTGTAAAACAAAATAATTGTTCCAGCTTGCAAGTTAAAGGGTTCCAGAAATCTTGTGCACTTACAGTTTATTATGTGATGAACAATATTCGTATTTGTACTACTATCGTTACGTTATGGTGTCCTTTTAAAAGTAGCAGTGGTATTAACTTTACTAAAACTATTTGTTAATGAACATGACGTCACGATAACGGAAGCCAGGTGAATTTGTTTTGTCAAGACCTTGAAGGTTCGTGTTTGACTTATCGTCGGTAAAGCTAATATTTACAGTGGGTCCGGTAACTTTCAAATGTTAAAATTTAGTTTCAAGTTTGTATCCCTTCTCGCGAAAGCTATGTCTCTATGTTCGGTTCACGGTAATATTTATATACACTTTGATACCAATTTTTAAGTGTGAAATGTTGAATGTTGGACAATCCTGCTAGTACATAGAGGTACCAATGAAGCTATCGCACAATTTCTAACCGGGGCATATTTAGCATCAACACACTTTTACTTACGAAACTGAGCTGTCGTGGACAGTTGTGCCTTTTTGGGCTGTGTTATATATAGGTCACTGTCAAATTGTGCTTTATTTCTGTATCTGAAACATATTGATATATAATGATGATTTAGAATGTTCCATCTGTGCAGTATGATCAATGTAATGTTATTTTACCAATTATTTGTCTCAATTTGTGTTAAATGTAAACCTAAAACGGTTTATCAAATTGAAATCACTATCAAAACTTTAAGACATAAACATAAATCCACAATCAAATAGTTTTGCATCACATACGAGTGCACAACTGTTTCAAAACCGTATTTATAAGTGCCAATTAACTACAGGGTGGCCCATAAAACACTACCCATCCTTATCTCTTAAAATTGTTACAGGTCGCTGAGATCTTGCTAACTATTTTATTTCAGAATGAAAAAGCGCCATAACTTACGTTCTGATTAATATTTTTGCTCCAAATTTTTAGAGAATGTCAATCATAATTAGACACAACTTAGTGCTAAGTTTTGTGTGAGTCTGAGCTTGTCTGACAAAGTTATATGCCCCTGACCGTGCTAGCTTTAATTTCTCACCCAGATCTGTTTACATTGGTTAGTAATAGTACTAGTAGGAACCACAAAAAATCCTGGGTAAAAAAAAATTAAAAAACCACCGATTTATTTATGTTTTACCAATTCTATTTACCATGATCCATCGCACATTCCATTATGGTACAGTGTACATATCCTATAATTTAATTGTAGCGCGATGCACTACTGGGCCGCGCCGCGCATATTCTCGCAACCGTAGATCGGCGAGATGCACCACTGGGCCTCGCCGAGCTAGGAAGGATTGACATCGTGAATCAAATATTTTAATTGTCATACGTTGTATGACCCGCCGCGCACGAGTGCAATTGCGCGGCTCCCCCTGTATCGTCAGGACGATAAAATTAAAGTTTAAAGTGAAACGACATATTTGCGGGTGATACTCGTAAAATATCTGTTCCATATAATAAATCATATATTGGACCGTCGACGAGTCTGGAGTCCAACTCGGCGCGCGTCCTGGTTTGATACATGTTTCGTATCCTTCGGCGGCGCGCGCTTCGCGCGCGAAAAGTGGCATGCAACGTATGTCAAGTCCTGGTAGGTTATAAACTTCACATAGCCATGTGTGACGCGCTTGTTTCACAAGCGAGAGGGCTCTGGTTAGAGCAAGTTATAAACCTACAAAAACGACAGTGGGTGAGTGGGGGTCACGAGGTGCTGGCAGTTTGATTCGGGGATCGGAGGAAGCTTTCACCTAACCATGTGCTTTCGCGCCGCTGCGGGCGCGCTTGTTTCACAAGTCGTGAGGCGGGCGCGCGCTACTGCAAGCGCAAGGGCTCTGGATAGAGCAAGAGGAAGCTTGCTGCAGATAGCTTAACAAAACGAAAATTCATATTTTCTAAATTCTGTCCCATTTTCAAATATGAAAATTTCTGAACACAAATTTGACAGATTGGATGAACTTTTTGCCCCCAGACTAATTAGTCAGTTAATTAATGATGGTATGAAACTAAATTACGGTTTTGGAAGTAAAAATCCCGAAGAAAATTAAAAAAATCATATTGTCCCAAATTCTGTCCCATTTTCACTTTATGAAGATGAAATTTCCAGGACCGAAATTTTACAGTTTTGACTGAATTTCTCACCCGCGACCAATTAGTCAGTCAACTATAGATCGCATATGACACGATCGAGGTGCTGGAAGTTTGATTCGGGTCGGAGGAAGCTTGCTGCAGATAGCTTAACATTAACAAAACGAAAATTCATATTTTCTAAATTCTGTCCCATTTTCAAATATGAAAATTTCTGAACACAAATTTGACAGATTGGATGAACTTTTTGCCCCAAGACCAAGATGATGGTATGAAACCAAATTAAGGTTTTGAAATCAAAATCTCGAAGAAAATTGAAAAATCATATTGTCCTAAATTCTGTCCCATTTTCACTTTATGAAGATGAAATTTCCAGGACCGAAATTTTACAGTTTTGACTGAATTTCTCACCCGCAACTAATTAGTCAGTCAACTATAGATGGCTTAGTGATACTACTGTTAACATGGGTTGCGGGTTGGTTCAGTCTGAGACCCATTTCTGATTAAAAAAACTGGATTTTTTCATCGAACAAAATAAATGAGTCTACTTTTACTTAGCGTATCTATCAAGATTGCACAAATAACTGTAAAAATCTTTTAATAATTTAGTGCTACCCATACTTAAATTACCGTAATAAATTAATTTCAAATATATTCAAGACAGTTTCGCTTTATACGTAGTCAATATAAATTATGAAGACGAAACCATGAAAACAACATTCGCTTAAGTTGTACTGTATAACCTTCAATATTATTGTTTTTAGTACAAAATCCAAGGAAAATGCTTCAGAACTAGAAGTACTCTCCTCGAAATAACCATTAAAGTTGATATTAATATTAGATCGATAGGTTCCTATTTTTGTTGATTTATTAATTTATTTACTCCTGATCTTTAGTCAGTAACTTATATAATATGTAATATCTACTGTGACATGACACATCACGGCTCCATACATAAAATTGTAGGAAGCAGTATTTCTACTCGAACTTATCCGGAAAGTTCTAGCATTTGCACAGTTCCGTGACACAGCACTGTCCGACGAAGAGTAAAACTGTATTCAATAAATGAAACGTTAACCGCTTTCCTGGCTCCACAACATTAAGAAGCTGTTCAAGATGTGGCCGATTATCCGTTCTGGAAGAATTGGTGGTCTGAGTGGGACTCCGTGGCATCCACTATTCTTCCTGTCTCCTCTTGCTCCTTCATCATTTTTATGTACTCCTTTATTTTAACCTTGTCGTACTCCTCTTTAAATACTTCCTGGACAATTAACTCTGTAATATTAAGATACATAATACTAATATTAAATTTAGATACAGGGTGGGCCAAAAGTCAGTGTGCAAACGTTGGCCTTAATAGCTCAGTCACTGAGTGCCAAATTGAAATAATTTGTCCTGGTATGACTTTCTACTACCACTGGTTCGAGAAATTTGTAAAATCGAAACATATTTGTGTTCATTTTTTTCAAAAGAAGGTTTATTTTCGCATTTATTTGATAGTTTGGCTAATCAGATCGAGCCAAATTTTATTGAATTGTGTTTGGCCATTTAAATTACGTTTGCCCTGAAAAAAAGAGAGTTCTAGCTTCTCAGATGACCGAGATATGAACCTTAACGAGGTTATTCATTACGTGTGATCAGATGATTGGTTTACCTAATCACGTGATTAGGTGACCCCGTTAACTACCCCGTTAAACATTATGGGAATCGTGAAGGCTGCCCAATTAAGGTGTCGTGTCGCGGTGTCACATAATCACCCAGTCAATTTTGTTAACGAGATACAGAAAATGCTTGATAACTTCGTCATTTCTGATCCGTTTTGCCTCATATTTTCAGATCATATGCAACATTTAATAATCTACCGTCTCTGAAAAAATTAGACATCTAGCATGTTCGGGGAGAACAATATAAGTGTTTTAATATTGAATGGGCGTGGTCTGAAATATTCGAATTTTCAAATTTTGGTGACGGGAACCTCGAACCAGTAAGTACAGTAAACCATCTGCAAAGCAACAACCCTCAAATATAAAACACGGCGGAGGTATAAGACCCAACGTTTGCACACTGACTTTTGGCCCACCCTACATTTTCAAATCGGACATACACATTTTACGCGGTCGTTTCTGTGCACAGAAACGACCGCGTAAAATGTGTATGTCCGATTTGAAAATGTAGGGTGGGCCAAAAGTCAGTGTGCAAACGTTGGGTCTTATACCTCCGCCGTGTTTTATATTGACATTATAGTGACATGTCACGTGGGTTTAGAGTGACATAGTGTTCAGCATAACTTACTGCTGCTTCGTGTTTGCAGTTAAACCAGGTCATTGCTTTTGCAGCACATTTGAAGTAGAAGTGGTTGTTGAGGCACTGGTTGAGATCTTGTAAGAAATGGTGACATTCAACTGTTGCACTGAAAATTGGACTTTAGGTACAGATTGAAATGGCACAATGCCAAATATTCATTTAAAATAATTTTGCATATACAAACTTGTTTAAAAGTAAATCAAATTAAATGTAAAAAGAGGAACTGCCTAGTCCAGTTGTCACATCTTGATGAAGCCTATCATCTTTAATCGGAATTATATGGAATAATAATAATAATATGGAATTTCTTGCCCTGCAAGCCCTGTTTCTTGTCTATACAACATATTATAATTGTGTAATAAACATTGATTGTAGCGTAGGATTGTTTGAATTTCTATTTGCTAATTCATATAATATACACTTTATGATTGTTTCTCCCATTTTTCTTCCCTTGCATTGCAAGCCCTGTCTCTTGTAAAAACAACCACTTTTGTAGATACACACAGTCTCTACGTCTTTATCCTCTGGTCCCTAGGGTCAGCTGACTCCGGGCCAGAGGAAAATTACCGATTGCCAAGGTTTGATGCCTAGGCACTAGGCAGTCGAGACCTCTTATTGAGACCCGATATAATATGGAATAATGTTTCAACTTTTTTGTAATGAAGCAGAAAATTTGAATTTGAGGTTGTGGCACCAAACCGTAACCGGAGATTTGTCTGCATATTATTATAATAATTATCCTGTTAATCATAGAGATTTGTTTTTTGCTCAGCGTTGAAATTAACCTACATTAGTTTTTTAAAGTCCTTATTTTAGTTTGCAAATTATGGCTACAAAGTACAAATATTATCTGCCAGAGGATCATTCACATAATTATTACGAAGCCAAATTTCCTCTATAATTATGCCATATCAGTGTAATATTAGTCTACAAAAATGGTGAAAATTTTAGAAAATTCTTAATATCAGACCATTTGTGTATTTGTAAATATCTTATAGCATGTATAGGGTGTACAACTGTTCTATGATTATTATTAGCCCCATTTCTCTCAAAATTTCTGATCGTTTTTCTTGCCCCTCTATTACGAAGTGGTTATTATACCACGAGCTTGCTATATTACGGATTGTTCTTAGATAGCAACGGAGCTCCTCGGTCTCCAAAATAAAAAACTCACACTTTCTGCGACCACATATTCCTCTCTTCTTTGTACTCCTTCCTTGCGAGCTGAGTTCGTATCTTGGTCATGTCTGCCATGTTGGTAGCCAGAGACACGCCACCGTCACTTGTTTCACCCACTACTTCAGACATGTCGGGATTCGTGCTAAATTGGAGGGGGTTCCTTCAAGTCTCGTACTTTTATTGTCATTGGAAAAATGTAAATTGTATTTTTTTCAATAACTGTTATTCAATTCATTGCTGAAGTTTGTTAAAATATCATTTTAAATTTTCTATCTACCTTGGGAGACATAATTTTGGGAATCGGAATTCTGGTGGTGTGATACATAGCCTGGATAGTGGATTTGTGCTTTTCTGTATAAGTATGTAAGAGTGGTAAGAAGATGTGAACTATACCAGGGGTCCTTTGAAAAGCTTCGACAGCATTTCAAAGGACGCCTTTTAGACAGGTATTTGGCAGCATTAATTGTGGCAGCATGCCTAATGCCTATTGAATTTGGCAGCATGCTTATTAACCTCCGACAGCATACCTATTAATTGTCATCCTGTCACATGTTTCCAACATTCTTCCAACTACTTGCAAGTAGAACACTGCTTCTTATACCTCCTTATATGGCAGTAAACATCTGACGATTGAGCACTTAAACTATGTAAGTATTCCCAACTTTCCTTGCACTACTTACACCTCATAATCTTTCCATAATTAAATGGCTCAACATTTTTGATATTTGGCGTGATGTTGGAATCTGTTTCACACTGACAAGGCGCAATAAAGAACGTCTTTTATAAAAATATCAACGGTCAAACTTGAACGCATAACATGAAAAATCGTCAATTAAAAACAATAATTCCTATTTCCTATAACATCGAATTGAAATGTTATCGTTATATCAATAATGTTATTTCTAACCTGATAGAAACGAGAAGTTTCACAAATTAAGTATAAAATTCCCAAAAGACAGTCCCAGTCTATCATAAACCGTTTTTGTATTACCAAAATCCAAAATCTTTTCAACATCAGAGATTTGTTTCATATTAGACAATAAGTTGAAGTGGTCCAATTAATACGATGTTGCGATTGGCATCTTCGACTCAAAAAGTTTTGCTATGCTTCATTCTCAATCATATGTATATCAACAACAGAAGTGTAAAATGTTAAAAAAAGACTGGACTCCTTTTTGAATAGATAGAAGTTAAACACATGAAACAGAAACAATCTACAAAATGTGGTCAATGTTAACATGGTTAAAATAAACAAGTAGATAAGGTCACTAGGAGAAAGTAGCTGTAAAGCCACTCTGACTGTCAGGTGGATCAACACTTCCATTCCCTGCAAACGGGTCAAATGGATCGCCTGTTTTTTGGTTGACAGAGAAAGGGTCTGCCGCGGTCGAGCTTGCAAAAGGATCGTTGTCATCAAATTTGGCCGTAAATTGGTTCGTAGATGATGTTCCAAACGGATCATTTGCATCTCCACCCGACCTAAAAGGATCGTCAGAAGAATTACCGAATGGATCTGCATTAGCTGAAGAAAATGGGTCATTTTCTGGACCATTTGTTGTAGCGAATGGATCAGATCCAAACCCGGAGCTCTTAAATGGATCTGCAGCAGTATTAGAGTTGGTAAAAGGATCGCTGTTAGGAGTGGAGAAGGGGTCCTTACCACCAGCAGGAAACGGGTCGGGGGTATCATCAGGGGTCTCAAATTGATCATCCGATTTCGAAGATTGGTCGTTGAAAGCACCATCTGTAGGGGGTGCCTTGGTCACTTCAGTTGATGGATTCTCCTCGGGTGTTCCTTCGTCCGCTGATTTGACTTGAAGTTTAGGTGATGAATCAGCAGTATTGGATTCATTCAGCGACGTTTTGGACCCTTGAAGGGAGTTTTTGGATCCAAAATTCTTAAAATTATTCAGTGAGTTTTTGGAACCACGCGTTCCCCGCGACGCCAAGGATGTATTGGAACCTTTGAACAAATCAGTTGACCCGGCAAAGGGGTCAGGAGTATTTGCAAACGGATCATTTGTATTAAATGCGTCAACTTCAGAAGCAAAGAGGTTTTTCTCTTTAAAAGGATCGTCGAGATCATCGAATGTGTGAGCACCAAAAGGATCCTGATTACCAGAATTCCCAAAAGGATCTCCTGTCGAAGGGGTTGCAAATGGGTCTTCTGACGGATCCATTTTACTGCCAAAGGGATCTTCACTAGGAGCTGCTCCGAAAATATCCGCAGACCCCTCTTGAAAAGGGTTACCTTCGAATGGATTTTGCTCAAACTCGCTTGATTTGAATGGATCTGCACCACTCTCGAACGGATTAGAAGTTCCACCGGCAGGAAATGTGCTGTCTTTTTCTTCCTCAGTTTTTAGAGTTGCACTCTCAGAACTTTGCTTTTTTCGTCTGTTCATTTGAGGCGTGTTGGTCCCTGACTGTACCTGGGGTTCCTCATTCACTCCGCTACTTTCACTTTCTTTACTCGATCCCACACTCGGCTTCGTTTTAAAAGGATCTGTTCCACCGAATGGGTCCACGTCTGCTTGAAAGGGATCACTTGAAGGTGGGCCAAACGGATTAGAGTTCTGAACCGTTTGTTCGGTCTTGGCTTCGTAGTGTGTTTCCATATAACTGTCGACACTGAACCCGCTCATACTGGATACCGGGGAACTACCAGCAGTTGCCCGGGTAATGTCTGACATCTGGGTCACGTCTTGTTCTTGACGCCTCAGCTGGGTCACCTGAAACACATTACTGCTACAGTGAGAGTTCTAGTTTAACGAAAGGAACTCCTACAAGTATTACTGTCTAAAATGTATTTGAATGACATGAAATTTGCATATTGGATCACTAATTGAACAAAATTTAAGAACTAACTTCGTGAATATTGGTGAGAATTGATGGTTTTCCTTCAGATCCAGCATATCGTCTACCAAAGGGCGCCAATTCCGCCAAGGCTTTGTCGATCGTTCGGTGGGCTGCTTCGATTTGCACCAACTTTGATTGAGTCTGAATAAATGGACATCAGTTTGAATGGTCATTCAACAGTTTTTTATCCTCTTTTTAAGCTAATGCGGTTATAAGTTTGTAAAAGGCATTTTTCTCAAGTTGTTTAAAACTTCGATCGATTTAAACTGGACTTCGTTTATTACATGTATTATGTATTATGTATGTCAGTGGGTTTAAGTAATAAATTAGCAAATTTTGAATTTCAAATGTTCGCCACATGATTACCCTGTTATTATTCAAGTCTAATGTTATTGTACATTTAACGTGAGTGGATCGATGCAGAAGTGTAATTTCACCTTTTTTTATTGGGTCTCAAATTCCTCTCCATTCAAAAGCCAATTCAATAAATCAGTTTTAAAGCAAGATAACGGAAATTACAAACGATCTTTAAGAATTATCATACCACATTCGTATCGCTTTGAACTATCTTCAAATTTGCTATCAATGTGTCGAGCTGCCTCTTCCCACTTTCAACCAAATGAAGGTAGTGAGATTCTTCTTGCCTCAGCTTTTGCAACTCATCTCTAGGATTATTTTATTTAGATCACTGCCGCTTTAGGGGAGGGTTTGAATGTGCATCATAACATGATCCGATACAATTGGTGGTTAACACGCTTAAAATGTAATCGGGAGGAACACTTTGAAAATAGTAATTTCAGCTCAAGCCAAAATAAGTGCGCGTTAGCAAGCTGCGCGCGCTTAGATGTCGCTGTTGAATGTCTTCAACTTTGGATACAAAAAGGGTAAAATTTGCTAGTCTAAAAAGTTGCAAAAATGACAACCGGTTTTTGCTGATTAACAAGGCTCATTTAAAATTGTAGTACTGACAACAAACAATAAACAAACCTAGCTTTCTGGAGTTCTTCCTCTTGTGATTTTCGGAGGGCATCTTGTGATGCTATCTGCTGCTGTAAGCCTTCTATCTGATGTCTCTCATATAATGCTTTTTTATGCAGCTCTGATATAAGTTCCTCATACTTTCGTCTTTCGGCATCAGCTTCGTCGAGCCTGAGTACAATGTTACATCAAGAGAACGCATAAAGTGAGCTGGTTAATGACGTACAGCAGGGTATCTTAATTGTGAAGGCGTTGAAAATATTGCGTAACATTTTATTTAATAGCAAAGGTTTACGGATTATAATAAGTAGTAACAATGACTGCAACAAACCTAGCTTGAACTTCATCCCTCTGTTTCCTCGCCTGTTCAACTTCATCCTCAAGAGAACTTAGCTGTTTCTTCATGTCTTTTAGTTCTTCTCCTGCCATACTGAGACCCTCCTCTGCTGACTTTATTTCTGTTTGCAAGTCTTTCTTTTCTTTTGTTAAACTATCTGTGGATCGGTTGCTCTTCAGTTACAAAGAAAACAATTGGTTATCAAAACCAAGGACAAGACTTTAGAATGATTAATTGAAGACAAGATACACACAATCCATTTTATAATATTTTTATTTTGCCATTCGCGATTTTATAACATATGGTAATTACAAGTTAACCTACCAGATTCTTTGGTGTAAGTATCCAACTCTTTAATGACAGAAAAGTCGGCATTATCTAGGCCAGAGCCCAAGTTAAGAGAAGCCAGTTCGTCAGGGATACTACTAGCAGTACTGGGCACACTGGCGGAACTGGCACTGAACGGGCTGCGAGTACCGGCCAACAGGACTGTGCTAGTGTTTTTGGTTGCGGGTGTCGGCACACTGGGTGTGGAGGCGGCGATCGGAACTGAACGCGTGTAACTTTGTGCTAATGTTGCTGTCTGTAAAGATTAAGGAATGTATTAGACCAATGATGATACAATAAAAGCTGATACATTAGCTAAACATAGCAAAGTTGTCCTTGACAGTTATTGCCAAGGTCAAATATTTGCAATTAGAAGTTCCCTGGTCACAATTGAAAACGGGATAATTATATAAACTTCGTCATGAGCCCCTAACTGCTTAAAGTTCCGAGCAATTACTTTAAAGTATCTAGGATGTAAATTTTACATTCTACATTGTAAAATGTACACTCTGACACAAACCAGCAATATCAACAATATTACTGTTCTTAAAGACAGCATCCAAACCTTATCATGGATGAAACGAGGAGGAGGTTGCTTAGCGGGGAGTGTTGCAGTACCACGTGGGGGTAGGTGAGGGGACCCCAACACCCCCGCTCCCCCAACAGCTGCTGGGGCAGGTACTGCTGCTGCTGCTGCTGCTGACGTTGCCGGGGTTCCAGCCCCTGCGCCCCCAGCTCGCAGTGTTGGGGGCACTAATTCAATAGGTAGCACTTCAGGTAGCGTTCCTTTCTGGAAATATGGGATCTTTAAACCTCGGATGTTAAAACGTGTAAATAACATGTTATCGAGACATTTAGCACTGGTGGACGGTAGAGCATTGAAATAGCTATCGAATTTCAACTAAAAACAATGAAATATTTCCTTCACATTACCCCACCACCGCCCCAATTTAGGGCACAATAATTAACTTTATTAACAATAATTAACCTTGTGAAGATCGATGAGATGAAGGGCCAGTGCGTATTGTTCCTGGTTTAGTTTGCCGGTGCTGGTGATATCACACAGTGCCCAGATCTTAGCAAGACCCAGCATTGGAACTCCTTTGCTGACCAGCAAGGGCCGCAAATCTGCTCCTGTCAGCACTCCTGAAATACCACGTTATTATAAGTGTACTAGTGTAACCCGGCCTTCGGCAGGGATTTCACTGCCGCAGTTAAAAAGGGTAGGAGTAATTACCCGTTGAGTCAACCCGCATTAGGTGAGTATCTTAAACAATAATCAATAGAAATTAACCCTTAACACCACACCCGCCTATCATATTTGTGAACACGCATAACATTGTCGTATGAAAGTATGAACTCTCTCTGCAGTCCAAACAGTGCCCCCTCCCCTAATAAGATTATAGTATAGACAGCGAATCTTACCCGGGTAACTCAATTACACTAATTATGCAGCTACATATGCGAGCCCCGTAACTCTTACCGTTCTGCTCAAGCCATTTTATGTAACATTTGTGGTACAAAACCATCAATTAAACCACTTACCAACGACCGATTTAAAAAACCTTTATCATTTAACTTCGTCAGAGTTTTGTCGGCACTTTACCGAAAAAATCAGTCCCGCAACTCTTACCGTTTTCTTGATTAAGCCGCTCGGAAATTACAAACAGACAGACAGACAGACAGACAGACAGAAAACACACATTCTGGGATTATTAGTTAGATACTGTACAGTTAGCATGATGTATATAATTAATCTGACATAATTATAAGTGTTCGATAAACGTTGTATATATGTACATGAAACTATGTACATTGTACATGGTTATAATACATTTTACATTATGTATGTACATCATTGGATCATATTTTGTAAGGAACTTATCGTAGTATTACCACGTCTACAAGGGATGGATCAAATACTGCCCATCAAGACGTGTACACGAAAACGTACACAAAAGTACATAGTACATTCCAATAGTACATTCCAATGAGCGTGACGAAATAACACCTTAACTCCAGTGGGTACTGGGTAGTTAAATCCGGTTAACGCTGTGATGCAGTATAAGTGGCGGGTTTAAATATTATTTAGTTACTTGACAAATTCTAAGTTACAGGTGCGTTGGTTGAAGTGAAAATAAAGGGCTCGTTTTGTGAAAGTTAAAGTAGTGATGTAAGGGGGGGGGGGGGGGGGGGGTGTTGCCCCTCACCCTAATGTACTTTGGTTTGGTTACGACTCTAACCACATAACAACCGATTTTATAAATTAAGCCTTAGGTTTTATTCTACGTTTATAACTGATCTCCGCGTCTCATTTAAAGTACTGATAACTCTGTACTTGTAATAACCATCATGATCAGCAGAGGACATTTCCCATCAATATTACTCCTAATGATAACGGTTTCTCCTATCTTGATTCCAGTAATCCGATCATTCCTCTGAAAATCGCAGTTCCTCAACTCACCTAATCCCCGTGTGTCATCCACAGTAAACTCACCTAATACGCGTGTGTCAGCCACAGTAAACTCACCTAATCCTCGGGAATCAGTCACAGCAAACTCACCTAATCCGCGTGTGTCAGCCACAGTAAACTCATCGGCAGCAACTCTGCGTATAGGGTTAGGGACCAGCCAGTTGACTTTCTGTACCTTGGTATAAACCACACGGTGGCAGGGAGGTATGTAGTTGGTGGGAAGAGAGGTGGGGGTCTTCTCACCTTGCCGTGCCCTATGGTACAGAGGGGGAGAGTTATTGTATGTTATTGAGGACGTTACAGAAGGAATTAAATTAATGTAGTCCGAGGAGTTCTAACTATACTCGTGTCCTAAGATAGCGTTTCTCTTGTCTCATACAATGTCAGAATATAATACCATTTCTTTGGAAACCTGTTTCCACAATTTAGCTTGCCTAGTTTCAAAACGATTCCATGGAATTGGATACTAAATGTCTAAATGTCTAAAGGAGAACGTGACAGGAGTTTCAGGGTAGTTTTTAATTAATAAAGTAATTTACAACACATATAACATATCTAGGTGTATGTAATTAACGACACATATAACATATCTAGGTGTATGTAATTAACAACACATATAACATATCTAGGTGTATCTAGATAAACTAACTTGTTCAAAAGGAACATTGCCAGACTGAACTCCTCCATGTCCAGGTGACCGTCCCTGTCTACGTCACTCAGTTCCCAGATTTGTCCTAACAAGCCCACGTGTAGACCTGATTTCTGCAGAATAGGCTTCACTTTCCCTCCTGAAAATTAAAAACGTTCAGATATCAAGAATGGGTTTCATAGGCAGGGGAAATGTGTACGTTCCTACAGACACAAATGACTTGGGTGTAAACAAACTAGCCAATTAAATACAAGGATCGTGGTCATGAGTCCAAACAAGCGCGTGTAAACAAGAAGAAGACTGGTAGTACTAGTACCTGATAGCTTGCCGTTGGTGGGGTTGAGGCTGTGGAATATGCTCTCATACTGAGCACGTGACTGGGGGCTCACCACCCACGACTCACCACTTTTATCTGAAATTGAGAACATTAAACTCTTACACAAACGTGATCACACACTTGGACTCATACAATTTGTGTTGAGCAGCTTCAGTTGTTGGAGAAAGTGACGATTATTTTGAAAGATTATCTCCTCAGATCACCGTTACACGGTCCTTTTATTTTCTTGTATGTACGGCCCTACGTTTGTATTATACAGTGCTCTAGGGTAAAGTTAGTGAGAACTACTACTAGATCATGAGACAAGTGCTCAAAGTGTAGGAATCATATTGAATCGCTCTCAGATCTACTTCTCGTATTTCATCTACTCATAGTGGTATGACGTGATGGAGTCAAGTGGTTGAAGTTTAACTCGACATATTAATGTCAGCCACGAGTTATTTTCGTATCACTAGACGAAATGAAAGTCAAAGGCAATAGGTAAAATTCAGGAAATAAGGCTCCGCCGTATCGTAAAATCCATGGAGAAGAGGATCTATCAAACATTATAATTATTGAGTAGGATCTTTGAACGCATTTATAAAAATAATTCGATAGATTAAATATTAGTCAATAAATGCTGATGATTAATTTTGAGCAAAAAAATCAGATTGTGTTTGTACGATTTTCAGATTTCCATGTTTAAAGATCAAATTTCGAACAATGATTTGTTACGAAGGAAAGTGATTAGTAATTTGTTGTCATTCAGACGATTGAACGTTTTTCTGCATTTGAAAACTATAATCGAAAGAAAGAAAAGCCATCAGATTGCAAAAACTGATCAAAAAAAGGATCTTCTGTGATCACAAGAGACTCAAGAGAGTTGAAAAGTGATCATCACACTTTCATCGTGTATTGAAGCAGACCTAAGTAAGACCGCATAATGAGAGGATCCCTGGAAGGCTCGACTACACTGCTCTTATTCGTGTCACGTGGTACTGGTTTAGTATCTCGTGGAACAATTAATGGGCTCTGATTGGCTGTATTCTGGTCACGTGGTACTATCATCAGGCTATGATAGATTGAGTTCGCTCCACTGCGTATGGAAGATGGAACAGATCCGCTGGGTACCTCAATCAGACTACTCAAGTCCATTTCAAGGACGCTGGACCGTTTTTGAGGCGGAGTGTTGGAGGGTCGAACCGGCTTCTGCTTGTGCTCAATTCCCGTCCTCGCTTCAATGTTAGGGTTATGATATGTTGCAAAATACAGAGAAGGGGAGTTGAAGTTAAATAATCACACGACACTGAGACACTCATCGTAACAATACATAAAGTGAATAACTGTATCATCTCTTATCAGCAGATACTGAAATTAATTATTAATTAAATAAACACAGATATCTGCCTCACCAGGGAGAGTAGGACGAGAGGGGCGGGAGGGCGGTGTCCCCACTCGGTCAGGGGTACCGGGACTACTGCTCGGGAAGGAGGGGTATCCAGAAAACTTTGCCGCTGGCACATTCATTCTGGGAGTTTGTAGTGAGGTTGCTGGGTTATGAGTCATAACTTATGAGTTTAATGAGTATATTAATGATTAGAGTAGTGTATAGTAGTGTATAGTAGTGTATAGTAGTGTATAGTAGTGTATAGTAGTGTATAGTAGTGTATAGTAGTGTATAGTAGTGTATAGTAGTGTATAGTAGTGTATAGTAGTGTATAGTAGTGTATAGTAGTGTATAGTAGTGTATAGTAGTGTATAGTAGTGTATAGTGGTGTATAGTAGTGTATAGTAGTGTATACTGTATAGTAGTGTATAGTGGTGTATAGTAGTGTATAGTAGTGTATAGTAGTGTATAGTAGTGTATAGTGGTGTGTAGTGATGTATAGTAGTGTATAGTAGTGTATAGTGGTGTATAGTAGTGTATAGTAGTGTATAGTAGTGTATAGTGGTGTGTAGTGATGTATAGTAGTGTATAGTAGTGTATAGTGGTGTATAGTAGTGTATAGTAGTGTATAGTAGTGTATAGTGGTGTGTAGTGATGTATAGTAGTGTATAGTAGTGTATAGTGGTGTATAGTAGTGTATAGTAGTGTATAGTAGTGTATAGTAGTGTATAGTAGTGTATAGTAGTGTATAGTAGTGCATTGTAGTGTATAGTAGTGCATTGTAGTGTATAGTAGTGTATAGTAGTGTATAGTAGTGTATAGTAGTGTATAGTAGTGTATAGTAGTGTATAGTAGTGTATAGTGGTGTATAGTAGTGTATAGTAGTGTATACTGTATAGTAGTGTATAGTGGTGTATAGTAGTGTATAGTAGTGTATATTAGTGTATAGTGGTGTGTAGTGATGTATAGTAGTGTATAGTAGTGTATAGTGGTGTATAGTAGTGTATAGTAGTGTATAGTGGTGTGTAGTGATGTATAGTAGTGTATAGTAGTGTATAGTAGTGTATAGTAGTGTATAGTAGTGTATAGCTGTAGTGTATAGTAGTGTATAGTAGTGTATAGTGGTGTATAATGCAAGGGACAACAATGTACAGTTTAACATGACACTTACACGAGTGTGGTTTAATACATGATCACATTTAGTTGTAATTAGTTGCATGTCATAATTTATCATGGTAATAGGTAACATTTGGCACTCTGTCTGTATTCATCTAAAAGTAAACAAAAGATCACAGCAGAAATACTGACTGCTTTCTTTATGGCCACCTGTTCAACTTTGGCCTTGTTTAGTGGCTGATTGCTACAGAATAAACATGACATAGTATGCAATTACAATGATAGATGTTCATAATTTACCTTACGCAATAGTTATCACAAAATTCAAAATCAAGACAGACAGAGTGAGATTAATCAAATAAACGTTGCAGATTAAGATAGAGTGTAGGTCAGTAGGTAGGGTATAAGGATATAACGCTGAGTGAGCAAAATACTCAAGGTAGTATTTGATACCATTCACCCCAAAATATTGCCTATTTGGCTCTCTCTCTCTCTCCCTCTAGCTCTCTATTAGATCTATTTCTCTAGTCATTTTTCGTTCAGATGTCAAAATGTTTATTAAAAACCTAAACAGATGAGGTTGATATTTTGCATCAAAAATACGGTCTGCGGAAAAATCGATTGTTGGTGTATGAGGTGAAAAAACGTCCAAACTACTCAAGGCAGTCTATTTGGCAGCTCGCCAGCTCGGCTTTGGCAAATTTGAAAGCTTTTTGTACGACTTTATATGGTTGTGGGTCTTGTGGGTTGAATTGCTGAATTTCAAATTGAGTGGCGAGTGCATAGCAGTGTAATGACTAATGAGTTCAGAAAAATTCAAATTGAAGAAACTACTGATAATACATTCCCTAAAAATTTAGTAAAGTGATTAAATAGCTAAACCACAAAATCCACGTTTTTAACTCGTTTCATCTCTAAACAACAACACAACCGAACTGAAACAATTCTGACAGTGTTTTTTTGGGTACAATAAATCACACCAGTCTGGTGTACTTACTTTAGATTCTCAGCAGTGGGCTGTATTCCGTTCTGGACTAACGCCACAAGTTTAATAGCAGTTGACAGGCCCAACAGGTCCAGAGCTCCTACTTTGTTTCTGTCCGACAGGTCCCATATTAGGGCCAAATCACTCGTCGCTATCCCTGGGGTGGCAATGATACATCTCAGGTAATTTGCTACTGATTCATTTAATATATCAGATACCCTCAGTCTTGAAGAAGAAAAACACTGACAAATTAAACGATATAAAATGTGGGGGAAAGGGTGCCAACCTGAAGATCTGAGGAAAGTAGCGGCATCAACAGCCAGTATTCGTCCCGTCTTGTCAGGATCCAATTGCTCGAAGAAGTACACGGCAGCGTTGTCTACAAATGAGCCCATTTAGCATAGCTATCTTTTGAGAATATGTACTGTTAGCTAACTTTTAATGTTGGTTATTATTATAATAACATATTATGTGCTTTAATGTAGTTGGAAATGTGTAATGATGTATCATCGGTTATAATATTATGTTAGGTGTTCTGCTGTACTGTGAAGATACTTCTGACGACGGAAAGTTGATGCAGATTAAGCTTAATTTTCAGTTCAAACAGTAGAAATATGTAAACATATCTCTAGCATAAGAAAGGTACAGACACATGCAATGGATAAACAATTCCATCACAGTTCATAAATTAACATCAAATAATATAATATCTGAGATTTAAAAACAATAAAAAAGAGCAATAGGAGGTTTTATCAGGAATCCATCCTCGCATCTTAAATTCGTGTGCAAAAATCGACACAATTTGCAGTGTGACATCCAATATTCTCTTCATAAGATCACGATCATCCGTGGTGACAGACGTCAGTCATAAAATCAGGTTATAATTTCAATCAACAACGATTGTTGCAAAGACCACGCCTGGGGCTAAAAATAGAGCACTGTGCACCATATGATAGCAGCACTAAATTGAATTAATTGGCACTCCTGAAATAAGTTGTATTTTGTGCGCATCTATTTCCAAGACCAGGCCATCCAGTTCAGTTATTATTATTACAAGTCACAGAATATGTTCACAGTGCAAAATTTGCCGCTTAACAAAACCATGTTGTAAAATGTAGCTTTTTGAAGTTTAAAATTTAAAGTTGTCAAATCGTGCTCCGAGTGATCACTGATCATGACGGATGGAAATATCATGAGGTAGAATATTGCAGAATGGAGATGGTTCTAGAATGTTTAGAAGGGCAGAGACATTCCATATCGAGCGAAATACTTCTGCTTTACATCCTCCCATTCAAGATGTACTCCGTCCAACTGGTTACCTGAGGTTTACAGTGGTTTACAAATGCGAAACAACATTCAGTGTAATCCAAAACTCAGAAATCAGAATCCAATATTAACACAATATTTAGTGTAATCCAAAACTCAGAATCTAGTTTAGTACTAGAAACATTGCTGTCTGCTGGAGAAGTGGAAATATCTGTGTCTCGTGAAGTTTGACACTAACATGGTTCTGATCACACAACCTCTACTAGACACAAAGTGATGTCATTAGTAACTTGAAACGGGCGTCAGAATATGTACAATTTTGTTTACAATGTAGACTCTACATGAAGTGTGTTTGGTGAAAATGGAAAAATAGAAGATGAAAAAAGGAAAATCGCTTATTGTACATATTATACGTCTGTACGTAGAAACCCATTAAAAATGCCCGACGCAACAATTATACTAAAAACCCAACAATATTGCCCTACAGTAAATTATCTTAACCAGCCAAAAAACACGGCAGTAAATTATCTAGACCCACCCAAAATACCCGGTACTAGCAAATAAGTTTTAAATACCCACCTAAAGTTAGCCAGTTGTTCTGAGTGTTATGCTCACGACCAAACAACTCTAACTTCCTGGTTCCGGGTGAAAGTCTCTCGATCATCCCGTATATTTCATCAGGCTTGTGAGAGGTGTCTCGCACCTGGTGGGTCAAGTTATTATTGGTCTCTTTTAGAGATCAAATAGAATATCAAACAGAATCAACTAGAATGAATAAAATTCTTTAAAATCCTTTTTCCCTCGCACAACTGAAAGGGTAACGTTGGAAAACATTCACTGTCAAAACTCAAAGGGCTCAAAGCGATGAGATTAATTAACATTTCCGCTGTAACCCGATTACAACAATTAATATTTCCGAACCTCGCTGACTATCAGATCACAGTCCAGTCCTCTGTTGAAGTTTTTAGGATTTCCTTTCACCCCTACCAGGCAGTGTTCTTTACCGTGGTTTATCCAGTGGCCTGGGGACAAGGTCATTACTTAATTAATTAATTAAAAAAGGTCATTATACTTACTCGATTAATTTAATCAATTAAACAAGTTTTTTGGTTCTCATGATTCCACTTAACTGTAACAAATGATATTTTGAACTGATTATCCTAGAGGGGTTCTTTATAAGGTTCTATAAGATTACCCTAAATTATTATTTTGGGTTATGAAGTTTTGACATAATATTATAATATAATATACAATAGTAAGTTGATACAAAAAAAACAAATTTTACGTTTAACTAACAACCTGTTAAAACAATTATTACAACCAGCACCAGCACAGTATACCGTGTACTTACAATTTACAGTATACTTGCTCTGTACTTACAGTGTACTTAAAGTGAACTTACAGTGTACTTACACTGACTGTACTTATACTGTACTTAAAGTGTACTTAAAGTGTATTTACAGTGTATTTACAGTGTACTTACAGTGTACTTACAGTGTACTTACACTGTACTTACAGTGTACTTACACTGTACTTACAGTGTACTTACAGTAAGTTGATACAAAAAAAACAAATTTTACGTTTAACTAACAACCTGTTAAAACAATTATTACTGTTTTATACTGTACTTAAAGTGTACTTAAAGTGTATTTACAGTGTACTTACAGTGTACTTACAGTGTACTTACAGTGTACTTACACTGTACTTACAGTGTACTTACAGTGTACTTAAAGTGAACTTACAGTGTACTTACACTGACTGTACTTATACTGTACTTAAAGTGTACTTAAAGTGTATTTACAGTGTACTTACAGTGTACTTACAGTGTACTTACAGTGTACTTACAGTGTACTTACAGTGGGTACAGTGTACTTACAGTGTACTTACAGTGTACTTAAAGTGAACTTACAGTGTACTTACAGTGGGTATAGTGTACTTAAAGTGTACTTAAAGTGAACTTACAGTGTACTTACACTGACTGTACTTATACTGTACTTACAGTGTACTTAAAGTGTATTTACAGTGTACTTACACTGTACTTACAGTGTACTTACACTGTACTTAAAATGTACTTACAGTGTACTTACACTGTACCTACAGTGTACTTACACTGTACTTAAAATGTACTTACAGTGTACTTACACTGTACTTAAAATGTACTTACAGTGTACTTACACTGTACTTACAGTGTACTTACACTGTACTTACAGTATACTTGCTCTGTACTTAAAGTGTACTTACAGTGTACTTACAGTGTACTTACACTGACTGTACTTACACTGTACTTACAATGTACTTACACTGTACTTACAATGTACTTACCAGTTCTGCCTGTTCTGATAAGCCTCTGAAGCTGGTTGGTTTTAACCCAGATAATATCGTCAACTCTGTCATATCCCCAGATCTGCAACAGCTCCCTCCCCAGCTCTACTGCTCTACCTGTGACCCACAGGAATATAAACCCGTCATCCTGGGAGAAACAGTTTGTTACAACAATCTGATTTGTTTATATAGTGGTATTAGAGTTTATAATATTTTCCGCGAATTATTTCCCCGAAAAGTCGTGGACACTGGTAACCGATAATTTCCTGTAAGGGTTGCAAGAGTATTATGAGGACCGACTGCGAGTACCTCAGACTGGCTTGCGAGAAGTTTCAAAACAAATAACAGTGGCGCAATATATGTTACACACTATATTGTATCATGCGCACGTATCACATTACACATATTCTAATCAGAACCGGAAAAATCATAACAAATAATTAGTTTCGTACTCGGGCTCGGGTTTCTAATTCTATCTATTTAGACAAAAACTAACCTGAACTTTTTCCACTCCCATGTTCCTCATCTCATCATCTGTCATAGTACCATATGGTAGCTCCATGTGGATATCCCAGGGTGGATCAGCCATGATCACCGTGAACTTCCCGATCACATCCTTGTCTAGTTTCCTTCTGAAACACATTCCAATGTGTTATTATTTATTCAGTGGTGTCATTGCCATGATTTTCTTTTGGATTTATCGAGTGGAAGGCATAAATTGTAATAATCAACATAGAGAACCATGACGAAGATCATAAATTAATTAATTAATTAAGTTAATAGCGATTACTCAACTACAGCCTTCTCAACCAATTCTTCATGAACTTTAGTTAGTGTATTTCGAGATTGCCGAGAAATTTCTCTCAGATTGCATGGTAGCTCACATTAAGCTCGATGTTTTCAAGAAAATGAACTGTAACATACTCGTGTACAAGAGTTACAGTCAGGACATCATAGTAAGGTGTAATGAGATAAGTACTATGATTTCACATTTGTTAAAGTACGAACAGCTCGGTTAGTGACTGTTTTTACGGTCTATCATTACATTTGCGATAAATGCAACCTACTTATTATCAGAATATAACGATCAGGTTACTTAGTCAGAAAAAAGGACATTCTTATATAATAAAATATGAGGAAATATTGCAGATGTTTACATTATAATTATCTATTGTTTTGGTTTCTGACTTGGCTATTCCTAAGAATTGCACATTTACGCAATATAATATTCAATAGGGCAGCTGCCTAAAAATGTATTGCTCACAAAAATGTATTGCATTTTTGCCCTTGATTATATTTAAGCAAACACCTACATGTCACACTGGATCCATTGAGGGGGTGTAATGGTAGTCGCAGTCATGGCAAGACTCTTGCTATCACTAACAAGCATTGCAGCGCTGTTTTTAGCGCGCGTGTTCATCGCCTCCTTGTGTTGACGCCTCATGTGTACGCGCTGGTCGTCCTCGTCTATCGCATAGTGCACATACTGGGGGAAATTTAGTTCAGGATCCTCATGGTTTCGGTAGAAATAATCAATATTTTGCTCTTAATTTGGGCTGTTTCTTGTGAAAATAGAAGGAATGATTTGCATAGATTGTCTTACCTTGCATGTGTCCATGTGAAAGCAAGTGTTGAGAAAGGAGCAGTCACCTAGAGAGGTATCAGTATGGCTGTGTATCAACTTTCCTGGAAATAATAATAATTGGTGCTTTCAGTTCAAGTTATTAAATAGGCCGTGTACGTTCTTAAAATGATTAATATAAATTACTAATTCTATCTAATTAACCATATTGACAGTATTGAGTTTAAAACTATATCATACCTATAATATTTTAAAATTTATATTGAAAATTAAGTTCACTACGTCTTGTTAACAACATTTCGCCGTTTATCGTCAAGTCAATAATAATGAGTTACTCACTGAAATGAAGTTTTTTGCATGACCCAAACTTGACATTTCCACGCTTACATTCCTGACGTGTGACCCACTCGCAAAACTCTCGAACCTAAATGTGACGGTTATTTTCTTAAAAATTTGTACCGAGTTTAAACATGAAAATAACAAATCTGTAGTATAGGGTTACATATAATTTGCCCAATCTTATATAAATAACCATGAAATGTTTGAATTTAATTATAATTATAAACTCTTAAATTATGTATGACCGAAACCCTAAAGTCAGTATCAAATTGGAATGTGACCTTGAATGTTATTCATTATTTACCTGATATTAAGTTATGGCAATTGGCAAAACAAACCTGAGCTGTTTTGTTACTCTTCAAGTTTTCAATAATCGTTTTTTCACGTGCACTCTTGTGATTTAATAGAGCTTGAATCTCCTCGCCGAGCTTTTTGCTCTCAGACTGTATCGCAGACGGTTTGTTAAGGAGAAACTCTGCACTTTCGGCAGTAAGGGCGGTGTTCAACTTCCTTCTCTTTCGTTTCTTGTCAAACCGACCCAACAGTGAGTTTATCTGAAACATTTTCAGCTACATGCTATTGAAATTATATCATAAATCAGGTTATGTTAAAACTAAAGAAGTTCTTAGGTAAATAATGTGTGAAAAAAATTATAAAAGGATAGATAGCTTATTATAGTAATAATGTTTTGTACCTTTTTTGCTTCAATGGAAACAACATTTAGCTCTGGGGAAGTTTTCAGGGTAATTAGACTTTGATAGGATAACTTTTGAAGAGAATTGTGAAGAACTGCATCACTATCAAGACAACATTTCTCTTTGAGGAAGTTCATCGACATTGGAACTGTTTCTGCCTAGAATTGATATTTTAAAAAACCTTGATGATGATAAGTACCAAACAAATTTCCATTCAATTTTATACTTTAAAATATACATTTGCTAAGTAATAACTCACCTCTAATACTGTCAACAACTTTTGGGTACCATCATCATCGAGTAATTCAACATCTGGTAATTGAACCATTACTTCATCCTGGGCATCCCGAGGATCTGTTCCATCACACAATTGCTTGAACCTTATACGGCGTTGAGCAATACGATTTTTCAAAACATCCACAGTGCTCTGATTCTTCTTAATTGCTTGCCAAGCATCAAAGACAGTCTGTTGAACTTGCATGACACTATCTCAAGGGAAATTTTACTAGTATCACAAAATGAAAAGCTTTATTTAATTTCACTTGTTTAAAATGATATAAGATTTATGACATAATAATCGTGACATGTCAGTCAATAATGTTCCATAATTTACATTCCTTCAATAACACACCATTCTTGCAGTGGCATGACGTTGCATGTTGATTGTTGGCGCCACTGCATTCTTGCAGTGCCAATAAACAAAAAGATTCAATAAACTACCGACAAATTCTAAGTTAACAGTTTATACCATGTAATAATAATTAATGTTACAGTATTTAGCTATATGAAATAGGGAGTTAACATTATCTGAAGTTTGGTAATATCCACATTCCACATTACATTGTACTGTAAACAAAGTAATATGCTATATTTAATTACGATTGTAAATGAATCAGTCAAGTGATCATTTTTATTACTAGTAATGAAAACATAGAAAAGGTCATTCAAACGATATATATATAATCAAACAATGCAAACAAACAAGCAATGGTCATTGTCTGTACCCTAAACAATATAATAAATTAAATAAATTAAAATAGTCAAACTTGGCCAAAAATGTGGTAACAGATATTGTGATAGTCTTGAAAGTTGGATCCCTTTGAAAATAAAACGGTCCATTGAAGACAGCGGCTGGATGATCACGAAGGGATGAATAAGGATGGGCATTGCTACAATATTTAAAACTTTGTGAGTCATGTAATCTTTAGTACACACGAGTTGAAGCTAGTATACTATAAACTTCTTCGATCGAAATATGAAAGGGTGATGCACAACTCATAAGTGGGGTAACTGTAAACTATATCAATCCACAATAAGGCACCACTAATTGGAGAACCTTTACAAAAATTGTAAGGCAAATGAGACGAACAACTCAAACCCTAATGTCATTAAAAACATTAAACTTTGAATAGCAAAAAAATGTTATGTAGCGCTCGATTTTACATTTATGAAAATAAAAATTGAATTGCGCGGCGCACTTATGACTTAAAATTCTTATTTACTAAATTTGTAAATTTAGTTTACAGCCAATGCAATGTGCAATTTTTAAACATTAAAAATTACAATTTAAGTTTTTAGAAATGAAAAGAATGCAGGTAAGATATGCAGGTAAGAAGAATGTTTTGGTATGTTGTCAATATTTTTGGTTGCGAAGCATTGCTATGCATTAAAAGCATTATTTGATGCACGGCGTAAACTTGTATCACGCGGTGACCCCCACTGCCGCTTCACTATAGTGTAGCGTCTTCGACGCTACAGGGGGAGCCGCGCACTTCGTGCGCGGCGGGTCATACAACGTATGACAAGCGTAAACAAAGTTTGTCATACGTTGTATGACCCGCCGCGCACGAGTGTGCGGCTCCCCCTGTATAGTAAAAACTATACCATAGTGGAAACTCTACTATAGCATATAGTGAAACAACATTGTGGGTCTTACTGGGCGGCGCTCAGCCTGTCATTCCGCCGAATCTTTATATGTTTATGAACATAATAGCCTGGGGTCCCCTGGTAATGGGGGTCACGACGTGATACCAGATACACTGCCTCGCCGAGCTGCGATGAATTGACATCGTCAATTAAATTGCATTACAATTAATTATTTACCAGCTGACATCTTTTGAAAATTGAAACTACTGTGCGATGCACTACTGGGCCGCGCCGCGCATCCAATAATGCTTCTCGCAACCACAGATCGGCGAGATGCGAAGGATTGACATCGTGAATCAAAGATTATAGTAGCACATTGCACAACAACTTAAAATGCACAGGTGTGCCACGAAAACAAGTCAGAATACAAAAAAACCTGAAAAGCAATCCACATTTACGTTCCAAACCATAAAAAATTTTAAAGACTTGGCACACTAAATTACAAAGTTAAGGGTGTGCACTTAATAGTAGCAAGTAGAAACATTGAAAAAATAATAAAGTAATTAATATCATAAGCACGTTTAAAAAGAAACGTTTTCAGATTCACTATAAAAGATTCCAGTGACGTTTTTAATTTCAAAAGGCAGCTCATTCCATAATTTAGGGCCAACTTTTTAACGGGTGATACTCGTAAAATATTTGTTCCAATTATTAGGACCGTCGACGAGTCCAACTCGGCGCGCGTCCTGGTAGGTTATAAACCTACAACCAACTTTCTGAAACGATCTTTCTCCATACTGTGTATATATATTGTTTGAAAGGCCTTCTCTATATAATAAATGTATTTTTACAGTAAGGTTGACTCAATACAAGAAAACAGCGATTTGAATTTTATTCGAACTGAGAGCCAGTTTTTATTCTAAATTAGCTACCACTGCTTACATTAATTTTTGAATCATCCCCTCTGCTCTGATGATACTTGTAGATGTGCACCAATATAATTACTTGAATATTGTATTTCTGTAAAATAATACCATCAAGTGGGACTGTCTTTTAATTTGTATACTGAATTCAGAACCGAAGATTTATATTGCTCTGGCGAATATCAATTTTTTGAGTGTTCTTAAGTTAAGCGATTCAATTTGAATACCATGAGCTCTGAAAGTCATTTACACCAATCAATCTAGGACTATCAGTGTCGGTGGTGCTTTTATTCGGTACTTACTTTTATACTTTTATACTTTTTTATTTTGATTTGCCCTACGAAATCTACACAACCGGTACTAATTTCAAATTATTATATTTTCATTGTATTAATGCTTTTTAGTAGAAGACCTTACAGGCATTTTCTTCTACCAAGGCCTTCTATTGTGGTAAGGTTTAAAGGGATCATGAAGTGTCCCCGACTTAATCGTAATAACGTTTCACATATATACTATCACATAGAAACACTAATATAAGAATAGGGCTCTGAATTCCCATATTCATAACTTAATTATGTCGCGTGAAATCGATACAGGAAGATTGCTCTAATTTGTTGGATTGCGGCAAACTGTCAGACACTGCAATAGAAACAGTGTTAAAATGCACATTTTTAATCATGTGCTGTGGCGCCAATTTAATTGATAAAATCTTCAAATTAATGACACTTGATAGATTTGACTTTTATCTTTCGACCATTGTGGTTGTTTAATGTGCATAATATACACAAGTGTCAAATAATTGTCTTATAAGTTTACTAGTAGAAGCTCTTACAGGCATTTTCTGCTTGATACGCTAGGGACTCCAGATACACCCTTCTAGACGTACTTTTGACCGTAGAATCGATTTTTGGGCCAAAAATATGCCAAAAAACCATGTTTTTTGAATTTTTGAGCAAGTTAATTTCGTTGGCATATCAGCAAAATTTGCATGAAGATAGCTGAAACACAGCGGTAAATAATGGCATTAAAATTAAGCTATTATTTCAGGATTTCGTGCTACATTCAAGTTCCATGAAGTGAGCTGCCTTTAATTGCTTGTAGGAACTAGATTAATCGCTGTACACCAAATTTAGGAAGATATGTGAAATATAATGGTTTATATCCGTTGTTAATCTTGTCGGTTCAAAAAAAACCAACAGAAAACTTGTTATGGACGATTAAAATCAGGTGTATTTACACATACCGTACCGTATATTTCATTGCGTCCTAGTATATGCTTTACTGTCACCTTGCCGCAACATGGAAAAATGTAATTGATATGCCCCGTATTATCTCCGTTTGTGAAGCAATTATGACGAAAATTGTCCTTGGATTGATTTAATCCATCTATTTCCATGACTTTCAAAATGTATCGTCGACATGGAACCCACTTAACCTTCCTATATTTATGAAAGGTTGTTCCTTTGACTAGATGTCAATTTTGAACTGTATAAACTTTTTATTTTCATAAAGTTAAGAAAGTCATGACTTGTCTCTCACTTGAAGAACTTTATTCTTAGGTTCAAGAAACAGAATCTTCATAACCTTACATTTAGGTATTATGGATTCCTCGACTGATTATGGTAAGTAATCCTATATTGTTTAATCCTATATTTTGTTATGTTAACATGTAATCTGTTGTTTATATTGACTTTTATAATCCTGTCCTAGCAAAATTTATGCTCAATGGTTGTTAATTTTGTCAATTTGAATTAGTAAATTGAATACTGCGTTTTCCAAAAATGTGTATAGGATAAATCTTTTACGTTTACTTTAAATCCATTTAGAGATTTGTGCAGAATGCGAGAAAGAAATTACAGACCCCAAAAAGGGTTTTCACATAAGAGGAAAGAATCCAAGGGCCATACACAAAGCTTGTTTTGATGGATTTGGTAAAGATTATCTGTCAAAAGTCACGTCAAATGTTAATGTGGCTGAGAATTTTACTGATGCATATTGAATTTTATCCTTAGGTGTAATTTAACATGATAGTTTTTGAATGAATAATTGTCTTCTAATGCTGCTGCTCAACACCATCTGTCACTGATATAGTTTGGTGCTAGTTTATTGTGCTAAGTTACAAGTTCATAATGGCGATAATTGCATTTACATGATATTGAGATGCCAAAACATTGCATTCATTCGAAATACTTGTAGTACTTCAATGTGTCGTTGTTCTAATCTATTTGTTCGTTGTGATTTGTATTGATCTGCAAGTGGCTACTAACAATGTCCTAAGTTCAAGAAATTAAAATCGTATTCATTCCCTGTTTTCACCGATAAATGTGTGGTACTGTTTTGTATGATCAATATCTCTACCTGCTGTAGTAAGAATGTTTTACAGGACCTCAATCATCAACCAGTGGCGCATGTGTGAGTGTAAGTGAGAGTGAACCAAAGCATTTGACAGCACTTAAATATCCTTTACTGCAATTTGAGAGGAGAAGCATAATTTGTGTTTTTCTTTTGATTAATCACTTTTGAAAGTTGAAGAGTGAAAAAACGTGTGATTCTGCTTGGGAGTTTTGCTGCAGTATTTTTAATGATAAATCATGAATTCTTCGGATTGTTTATTTATTAAACTTGAATTCAAATTTATCTTTAAATCTGGTCTGATTTGATTTGGTCTTTGATCAAAGCAGATTCAATTTTGATATATTTCATTCGAATGCATTATTCTTCTCAACATAAATCTCAAACGTCATAGCATTATTATATCTGATAAAAAATAAATGAATATAAAATCTTATACAATTATTCCTCCGTTGTTATCCAGTGGGCCATTACAGATATATTAAACCTTTTAATCTTCATACACCTAAAGCCTGAACGATGGGAGACACTTCTTAAATAATATATATTATATATACAAATTATATTTAATGCAAATTATATTTGCTCTCGAACTAAAATTCGATTTAAACTACCTTTAACTCTACACTAATTACTGCCTACAATATCACAGTTGCAAGAGTTCAGTATTGCATTCAAACTCTGTGCTTGATATTCAGTAAAGAGTCTAATAACCTTGTCATGCAGTGTTGATATCTTTACAGTGTGTGCGGGCTGTAATGAGAACATACAGAAAGGATCTGTATCTAAAGCTCAAAACAAGAGGTGGCATCAGGAGTGTTTTACATGTGATAAGTGTTTGAAACCCATTGACGGCTCATTCTTGACCAAGTAAGTTTATTGGTGAGTGGACCTATAAATAGAGATAATGTGTCTACTTTACATTCCTGTTCGTGTTTAGGCTTAAAATAATAATCCTCTCATCCCACATTAAAATTGAATAATTCACTATCATTTTTTACAACTTGAAATGAATTACGATGTTCATTGCAACTATTGAATATATATAATAACGGAATAAACAATGTTTGTATCTGGATAAAAATAAACTAACAAGCGTACGTATTTCCTCTAGAGGTGATCAGAAGTTCGACAAAAAGTGTTACAACCAAGAGTTTGGTGTACAATGCAAGGTATGCGACGACTACATCATGGGTCACATACTCAAGTACAACGGCGAGGGGTACCACTACGGCTGTCTCAAATGTGATTACTGCAAGAAACGTTTTCATGATGGCGCTCATCTTAGTGTGAAAGGTAATTTATATAATGTACCCAATGTAGCTTAATTGTTATCTACTTTTCAGTTCACGATTAATTATAATTATGTTTTAAACAAGTGAGCTTAGCATTTAAATGCCTTTGTGTTTTGAATGACGTATAGTTTTATATGAGGTATATATTATAAATTATTATTATCTAACTGTCTAAAACCTGTCTTGTATGTTCACATTTAAAGTTGTAGTCTCTCAAACATGAACACTACAGTATTAATTTAAAAAGACTCTTAAAAAACAAATGTTATTAAGTATTAACATTTATCCACCGTTATCACTAATTATTGATCATACTAATTACAAGTTATCCATTATAGGACATGTATGTTTTGTTAGTTATTACATAGAACTGAAGCTCACAACATCAAGTCTCCAACATCCCGTCATCATATTTTAGATAGTAGTAATTAGTATCAATGTTCGTGAAAACTTTATTATATTATCTATTTCAGTAACATTGTGAAATGTGTCATCCTATACTGAATATGTGACTTCTTTGATGTCATCTAACGGATCATAATCATAATAACCTCATCATTGTTTATTTCACAAACAGTCACAAGAATGTACCGGAATGTACAGGAATGTACAGACCTCATTCCCTCTCTTTTCCTTAATTCAACCTAATCTAACCTACGTGATGATGACTAAAGCAATAAACATCTCTTCCAAGAGCACATACTCTACACGCACTACACTGTTGGCTCAATACTTTATCATATATTATAAGCTCATTGTGGTTTGCAATGTGTAAGCCGAGGGGACAAGTTTTGTATCCTGATAAATTACAAAGTGATGTTAACAGTAAAATAGTCAACAACATAATACTATATTAGTTAACCTAGCTGTATTACTGCTCAGCTAATGACACCAGTAAACTGTACACAGAACAAGAACATGACTGTACTAGAACCTTCTTTAGTCGACAAAGATTCACTATATTTCAATGCTGCAAGAGCTTTAGATTTAGAAACGATTCCATGTGTACACTGTACAAGGACGAAAGGCATTTTGAAACGTTACATTGAGATTATTAAATGTAAACGGTCGATTTTACCACATTGGAGTTAAAGTAAAACTTAACAAAAATTGTTGATCCAAGTACGTAAATCCCGGATGTAAATATAATCACGGAATGTTTATTGCCCTTTGTATCTCGTAAAAGTATGTGTGTAGTGTATACATACAATGTAGGGTTCTTAAGCTAACTGTAGATCCAGGATGTAACCTAATGTACATTGTGTGTACATTGTGTGTACATAGTGTGTACACACGCTATGTTGTGTACATTGTGTGCTGGCCTATTGCTGGCCTACTGCCTATTCACTAGACTAATTGCTGTGTAATTACTATTCCCTTGTTAATAACTACCCCTACATGGAGCTGAGTATACTAAGAAAATAATATAAGAATGTTTCCTAGTAAATCTTATAATATGTATATAATGTTATAATATGGTACCGATAACGTCCTTACTTGGGACACACAGAGGATGATCTGTCTTGTAAATCACAGCATTATTTCTGTCATTGTCACATATATATTTATTTTAATAAGTTTCAACTTGATTTGTTTAACATGTTAAAATAATTTAATCATCATTTAATTAATAACCTTTAACTTGATATTTTTAACGTGTTATAACCTAATGATTATTTTCAGGTGGGAATTTTATCCACAACGACTGCAAGGTGCAGAAGAAAGGTGCCACGGTAAGTCAGGGTAGAGGGACCTGTCGGTGGTTACTGGTTATTATATATTTCTGAGCTCAGAAGTCTTACAAATTCTTTTTCTTACAAGATACGTCGAATGCCTCACGTCCGGCTTCAGAAAATTCTTTGTCATAATTTTGATCCGATGTAGGCTTAAAATCAAATTTAGCTGGCAGTTGCATCATCTTACTTAATCATGGGTGTTATTTTAGAATATAGGTATCATTGAATATTACGTAATTACGAAATTTAAAATACCAAACATTAGAATGAATAATAATTGATTACATTAATGTCATCACGTCATTATTTACCCGAATAATAGTGGTTTTTAGTCACATTGTAACATCATCATACACGGTGGATGAAACGTCAACATAAAATACATGCCAACTACATTCATTACAACACATACCAGTAATATTCGCACTTCTGTCATCCCTAAATTTCTATTCGAATGAACCACGTGCTTGGTGTTTTTTTGGTTTTCCATTGACATTTAATTTTCAACCAGCTATTTTCTTCTAGTTTGTTTGTAAAATTCTCGACGAATTCTTAAATTCTATTTTTATAAAGTCCGAACTTTTGAACCTTCAACCACGATGTTGCAGCAGATAAGCAACACTTTGAGAAGGACCATAAGTTCCGACACTCCCTCTCGCAGCCTCGTCTCTGACTTCAAACTTCAAGATGAAAGTCTAATCACCACAGATCCTCACTCTTCAACCCCGGAACTCTCCCAACCCACCTCCCCGACACACAGCAAGTCCACAAGCTCGGACCCTCTCTTTCCCGACCTCACTCCTGCTGAATTACTGAAAGACAAGGAGGACTCTCCCAAGAAGGAGGAGGGAGGTTCACTTGGAACCAAGCTTAGGGGGATCAGTCGCCAGATATCAGGGGGGAGCAAGAAGAAGGGACGGAGAGTGAGCGCTACTGGAAAAGGGATGAAAGGGAAGCCACAGAAGGTGTTTCTATGTGTCACGGCTTTTTGCCAATTGGCAATTTACTTATGTACGTGTTTTTTGATATTTTGTGAGCGTAACAAGCACAGCTACAATTACAATTTACATATAATATGCATATTTTCGTTTATTGATTGTCTGCAGTCTGGTGTATTGCCAATATCATGTTTCGAGTAATTAAAGACTTGAACTGGCGACTGTCTTGTAAAAAATAGCAGCTTCTAGAAGTAGATGATATTAGTATGGGACAATACGGACAGAAATAGGCCCCGTCATAAATTTACCTATGGTAAGAGAGCAACCGAACCATTGCTTGAAGGATCTCTTAAATTCCTCTGAATTTAACAAAACGATACTAATCACGAGATGGTTAAATATTTTTCGACCAAACTTTTAAAAGTTAGAATCATTTTTAGCACTCCTATAAATAGTTGTCAATTGGGGCTTTCCTCTCAGATGTTATCGCATTTTGATGTGTTACTTCACAGTTTTATAAATAAGTATTTGTCCGTTTAATTTCGCGTTTTTAATCTGCAAACAGTATCACACATTATTGTGTACACTCGAATTTTCGTTAGTCTATAATAGTTCGTCGACAATGGACCACTGCATAAATTCTGCATCACATTTCAAACTGTTACACTGTCCGGTAAAAGGGACGGCCCCAATTAAATAAACGCAAGATAATTAATTAGCAAGACCAGCTTTAGATATCTTACATTTACAGCAACTTTCGTGATTTCGTTTTTAATCACCGAACTCCAAGTTCTGCTGTCCAAAATTCCTTTCTATCGAGTAGATATCAAAATTGGACTGAACCACCGCCCTAGCTTCCCATACAGTTTTCCCTCAATCACTCTATTTATTAATGATGAACATCACGGCTCATATAATTATATTGCACAAACTTTAAACACCATCCCATCACCACCAAACACCATCCCGATATCAGATATCCACTCACAAATTAATTGCATCAACCATTTGGCACCACAGTGATCTCAACTCGGAGTTCGGACCATCAAGTGTTTCTGAAATTCGAGCTTAAAGAGATGTCTCCACAGCGAAATTGGGACACAGTAAAACCAGCTAGTATTGTGTATATTGAATTACATTCCACCACGTGGCTGGAATTCCATCAGAACACTCTGAATTGAGTACTGTGATCCATGAAAAGTCGATCAAATCTCCATGATTACGAGGTTACAATATAGTAATTTGAACAGGGGGGGGAGTTTGGCAGGCTATTAGACTAATAGGGCTAGTTTTATACCAGACAACTGTCATGGGTGTCTGTCTTGACAGAGACTTGTAACACTTATACATTTTAATGTATAAACACTATAAACACTATACAACACACACTTATACAGAGACTTATTGCCCTATTAATTGTAGTGTATAGTAGTATGTACACAGTAATATGTACATTCTTGTATTCAGAAAGGAGATTACGACGCCGTGAAAGCTAACAAGGAACGTATCGAGAACGAGGGACAGTACGAGGACGATAATCTTGTCGAGTTCGAGAGGGTACGTTTACACAATCATTACAGGAGGATTGGCAATAATTGTGAATTCGTTTTGATTGTTGCAATAAGTATTGTACTCGTAAGGGTTTTATTTTGGGGTCTCTCTCAAGAACCATTTAGTTAGAACGACTGGAAAAATACGTTTTAATCACATTTTAAACACATTTTAAAGACCATCTCTGTTACAGGAATGCTTGAAGGAGCACAACAAGAAGCGCGCTGATCACCACGTCAACTCACTAATGTGGAGTGAGGAATGTGCGCAACATGCGCGCAACTGGGTTAAGAAACTGCTGCAGCAGGATGCTCTCATTCATGATACTCAGAGCGGGTTTGTGTTTATTTGAAATTGAAATATTTACTTATTTTCCGAGGATTTCGTGATGTATATAATATAAACTATAAAGAGACGTCAATAAACTTGAAAAAAAGAGAAAAAGTGATTAAAAAAGTGGTAAAATATTCGGAGTACCGTTATTAAACTACATTAATTAAACATTTTGTAAAGGTCTCTGAGGAATAGTTTTTTTTTCATGCACGTGAACAAATCGATCTTATCCTCAAACTGTTCAGATTCAAATCGGTTTTTATTGTATCGTCCTTTCTTAACAAGTGAACCCAACAGCCACCCACTCGATATTCCACAAATTGTCATCCAACTGGCTCTTATCCAATCCGGCATCATTGTTGTTGAGGTAGACTCGGAAACCGGTTGAGGTTGTACCGTAAACGCTTGATGCTCCATGAACCATCCAGTGATGGGAGGTTCCTTCCACAGAGGTCACCACATTAGGAATTTTAGTAAATCCACACTCGCTCATGTCAACATCAACAAACACGTTCTTTCCATCAGAAAAATCCTGGAACACTGTCGTAGTACGCCCTGAAATTTAACAAATTAAGAATCAGCAGGGTGTTTTAAAAGTCTTGCGTGGATACGTACTTTTTGGATAACTTTTTATCAGTTACATAACTTCATTCTGTAAAAAGTTATTGGTAGTTCTAAGGTTAAATGCCAAATGGTGACTTTTCAAGTTTTTACGTATTAGCCGGACTAAACTGCCGTTTCATAAGAAAATTAAAGTAAAGCCTGATAAAATTCATTACGTTATCATAGATAGAGAGATATATCTAGATTATCAACAATAAGATTGTGAGCTGTGAAAAGAACGCTTAGTCACCTTCATTTGGCAAGATTACTTCAAAACTCTGTTAGAAATTGATAACTTTCTATCATACCTGTTGAACCCGAACAGACCATAGCACAATCCTGCTTACTGTTGTCCTCCTCTCCGTTTATTATTTTCACTTTAGGTGACTTCTTTTTAGCCTCGATGGAGCACACAACCAAGAGTATAACTATTGCAGTTTTCATCATCTTTGCTCGTTATTGCTAATTGGAGAAACATTTTAAACATAATATCTTCGTTCTTGATTGAAGGCGTGATTTGGTGCTGCCTTACAAAATTCAAATATCAGTAAAACAGGAAAATATGTCAAAGTCATCGGTTACTTTTCATGGTTACGATACACAACCAAACTTCTTAGGCGAGAAAGAATTGGAAATAGTAGTGAGTTCAGTTGTCTGAGTGGTATAGATAATAGATATAGTCTGCCAGTCTATATATAGATATAGTCTGGGCGAGGCGGTTTTCTTGCACTTCAGAAAAGGGACATTTTATCATGTTGAGTCAACATTGCTGACCGAACATTCACCTCATGAAAGTTAACAATGTCAGCTGTTAATCTGTTTTTTTAAAAGTGCTGCGATATAATCTGCATTTAACTACAGAGTTGTGACCATCTTCCCTCATTTAACTTCAGACAATATTAGTGGGAGTTGACAGTTGTTCCAGTTCCCCTTATATTACTCTAAGTAAAACTTAACTAATGTGGCACGATGATGTTTCCTCACGGAAATTATCTTGTCACCAATGAGAAGAGGTTTATCGGTGTCTTATGAGTTACGAACGTCATGTTAATGATGATGACGCTTGAATTACGTGTTTACTAAACTGTATAGCAACAGACTAGAATAGTCTTATTGTTAAATGGAGCGCTGTGTTAATCAGGGAAATAGAGGGATAACGGTCACATTTTCTTTTGTTCCGAATGTATACATAGTACTACGCAATAGTACTGTACTATGTATGAACTGAATAGCCACCTTCTCTGTTGGAATCAAATTTCGTGCCAAATTCCGGAAACACTGGCACGCTGTAGGTTGTGGAGATATAAAAATCGCATTCCAAATAACAAGGGACTATCTTTGTGAGTTGTGATGACATCATCATTACATCATAACCTGTGTGTATAATCGCATTTAACATCGTCATCGCCCACACACCCTTAGCTTAGTATGTAACCTAATTAGAGGCCCCATTCTTTGCATTCCAGCCAATTGTACCTGTAACGCTTTATTCTGCACAGCGCCCAGCGCGGCGGCATTATGTAAAATTAGCGGGTATTATTCAAAACTTATGATTAGTCAACTAAGAATATTATACGTGATTATATGATGTGTAGTAATATAATTGGCCATTTCAAGGTGTTTACTTTATTACAGCAAACCAGCTTCATTGTATCGGATAAACTCGATTATGTAGGAATGTAACCGGAGTTAATTAAAGTTTTCATTAATGATCCCTCCCTTTCAACCCACTATATTGATGATATAATAATAGATTATTATTAACTTCATGTGGAGAAACAGATTGAGAGACAGATTAATTTGACAACCGATTTGAGACCTCAAATTGTCGTTAGAGCTTAATAAATTAACGTAAAATTAACATCCGATGTGCAGGATGGGAGAGAATTGTGGGTACTTCAACAGCAGCAGCGCGCCCAGCAAATCTGACACAACGTGGGCAGTCAACGTGTGTAATATGTGGTATAACGAGATAGAGAAATACGACTTTGGGGTTAACGAGTATCAGCAGAGAACTGGACATTTCACTCAGGTTTGTGGTGCATTTTGTGCGGAAAACTGGACATTTCACTCAGGTTTGTGGTGTATTTTGTGCGGAAAACTGGACATTTCACTCAGGTTTGTGGTGCATTTTGTGCAGAAAACTGGACATTTCACTCAGGTTTGTGGTGTATTTTGTGCGGAAAACTGGACATTTCACTCAGGTTTGTGGTGCATTTTGTGCGGAAAACTGGACATTTCACTCAGGTTTGTGGTGCATTTTGTGCAGAAAACTGGACATTTCACTCAGGTTTGTGGTGTATTTTGTGCGGAGAACTGGACATTTCACTCAGGTTTGTGGTGTATTTTGTGCAGAAAACTGGACGTTTCACTCAGGTTTGTGGTGTATTTTGTGCGGAAAACTGGACATTTCACTCAGGTTTGTGGTGTATTTTGTGCGGAAAACTGGAAATTTCACTCAGGTTTGTGGTGTATTTTGTGCGGAGAACTGGACATTTCACTCAGGTTTGTGGTGTATTTTGTGTTGTGCTACAAACAGTGAAATAGTGGTTTGGATGTTAATCAACCTTTCCTACGCTGTTTACTTAAAATATTATTCGATGGTATTCCTGTACGGCTTGATCACTGCAGTAGCAGAGTATATATATATATTATATATAATATATAGTATGAGCATACATAGCACAGTTAAGCATACATATAACACAGTACTATTTTTCTGCAAATAATCCTTGGCAGGGTCATTCCGAACCAATATCATCTGGATACGAAGTTTTAAAGATAGGTGTTACTTTAAGTTAATGTGTAATTAATTGCAGATGATCTGGAAAAGTACTGAGAAGATGGGATGTGCTATTGCCAAAAGAGGAACTCGTGTGTACGTGGTGGCTAACTATTATCCTCCTGGTAACTGGGTCGGAAAATACAGGGACAATGTCAACGATGTTTAGAAAGTGACGTCATAACGGCAGTGCTGACGTACTTCGTGACGTCATAGAATCAGTCACGTGATGTTTAGGTGACGTCATACCGGGAGGTAGTATCATTGGGACTGTGAGAGTATTAAACTTTTGAGTATTAAATGATTAGCGAAATATTATTTTAGAATTGTGATCGTGAAATGTGGGCTTTATGCGGTGGGAATATAACGGGACTTAGAATGAAATTTATTACGTTGTAATTTACAACCTTAAAATTTTGATGTAGTGTTAGAATGATGTCGAAAAGCATCTACACATATTTTGGAGTGGGAATTTCTTAAATTTGAGTGTAAACAACGGTATAATGATAATTATTACGGCTGTCATTATGGCATTAATTTTAATCACTTTATTGATCGATTAGAAGGAGACTATTTGATAGAACGTTATACTTTGGAATCAGTTTGAAAGTTATAGTATTGAAGTATTTTATTATATTATAAACACTATTTGATTACTGTATCTAAATGAATGTGTAGCTTTTGCCATTTTGATATAATGTTATGTGCGTAAAGTTTCTATATGCGTTACATTTTTTTTGTTATCTCAATTTCTTTAGTAATTTTACAGTTTATAATTCAATCTTCAAAATAGTACAGTCTTGCTCTTAAATGGGTTATGGGTTCACTAAAGCGATTTCTAATGAAAATGTTTACTCTTTAAAAAAACGTACTTTTCTGAAAAGACATTTGGAATTTTTATCAGCTTGCTTTCTTTGAATTCAGATTTTGACCAGTTTCAAACTATATATAATGTAATACTTTTTAATTCTTCCGTATTATGTAAATACAATTTTACTCTTGAATGTGACCAGAATGTTCAGCTCAGATTTACTCTTAGATTTAAACTAAGAAAACAAATCTTTCAGAATCAGAATTATGGATATGTTTTCACAGTTTATCATTCAATATATTGATACTATTTTATGTTTTAATGTCAAGTTTTAACAAGTGCATTTCATTTTCCTTTGAATCATATTAACAAGTTGTTAATTTACTGACATGACCAGTCGTGCTCTAAGCTGTTAAAGTGTTGGTTGTTTACCATAAATAATAAATCATGACATAACTCAAATACGCCCAACTAAGTCAACAAAACATGATCATCAAAGGATGTTTTTTCCGGTGGGCTAAATAAACAATCGTTTCAATGTTAATTTGAGGTAAAAATAGATGGCTTCGCACGATCTCACATCGTGTTCAATTTAACTTACTACTATAATTGTTCAACCATTCTCTGTGGCAAAGATTCCAATTCAATCCAATTCAATACATAGCTCAATTCGATCTCCTGTTTACCCCTAATAAAAAAAGACTTTCAAGCCGAATTATGTTTGTTCCATGTAACCATCTACATTCTACAGATCTACACTCAGTGCATACCCCCATTTACCGAGCCCCTTTATCAAGTTAAGCGTGAGCCTGACTTTACTTTCTCCAGTGCCACACATTTTCAGGAGTAGTCTAGTCAACCCAAACACACAAATGGATTCCCTGTTTAAAAGCTCCTTAATTCGTAACAATCCATTAAAAATATATAAAATGTGCCGTTTGTATGTAACGCGCAGAAGAAATATATATGACGACTATCGCGCGCGGTCTAATCTAGCTCGTCGCGTCGCGTGCGCGCACTGCACGGCATGGAAAATATATATTGGCCATATATTTCACAGATTTTAATCTTGCAACGATTATCGCGGGTTAATCGTTTTATATCTCAGTTTATATCTCCGCTTAACGAGTGATACTCGTAAAATATCTGTTCCATATATTGTGGTGGAAAATGTTTGGACACATTCTCAGGAGTATGGAGAACACCCCAGCCCAAACGGCTCTCTCATTTGCTATTGAATCAGATAATTTATTTGATTCACGATGTCAATCCTTCGCATCTCGCCGATCTGCATACGAGGTTGCGAGAAGCATTATTTGATGCGCGCGCGACCCAGTAGTGCATCGCGCTACAAATAATTTATTCATTGGAAGATTGGGAAGACCTAATATGAACTTGTTATCGGTTTTAGTTTGAAGAAATAAGTGATTTAAATAGTAGAAATTTGCAAATGGACAACTTGTATGAATTGAACGAAATTAAAGATATAGCTGCTTGCAACAGATGTTGGGAAAATCTTTTTCAAGGGTACAGTTTACCGCATTAAGGTATTTTTAAGAATTATCATTTTTGTCGGTTAGATCCTGTTTTATAATAATAATAATATATTGTCCAACTCGGCGTGTATCCTGGTAGGTTATAAACTTACAAATCTCCGCCAAAAGCACACTCCCCAAATTGCGCGCATTGCTGTTACTTCTTTCAAACTTCATGAATCGAGATAATTTATTTTGCAATGTATTCAGATTATATTTATATGCATCTATTACATACTATACAAATTCACTTGGAATACTTTTGAAAAAGACTAACAAGCTCAAAAACGCTACTGACGTATTTCTCCATAACAAGCACAATCAACAATAGCGTGAGAAGTATTTGTCGAGGTTCCTCAAAAGCGATCTCAAACGATTCCCCGTTCAATTTAGGTCGAGAAACGCCAACTTAGTGCATATTCAAGCAAGTTATAGACATATTTCATACATATCAAATTAAATGTGCTTTTGGCGGAGATATAACATGCGCCTTAATTTAAATAGTTTGCAGTTTGACTTTCGTTAAATTTCCTTGCCAAAAATAAACCATCTAAAAAATTTAACTGAAACGCAAATATTCGAATGTATGTCTAACAAAATTTTTAGTGTGCCGCGCATTAGTACTAATTCGTACGATCATATATCGATCATATGAATCGAGCGCCACTATGAAATACGTTTTGAGAAATCTTGAGTTAAATTTATGATTTGGCTAATTAAGCTTGTAAGTTGTAATTACCTTTCACTTTTCGGCATCTCTGTTGTCTGAAGAGTTTTTATTAATTAAAATATGACCGCAATGATATTACTAGCTTGTGGTTTCTCTGTCATGATAGTTACAGCTAAGTGTTTGAGTACCAAGAGAACGTACATGGTTCTTGAATAGTCTTAATCTTGATCTTTTGGCCATTCTTGGTCTTCTGGGCATTGAGAGAAAATCGTTTTTTGTGTGACTATCGACTGTTCGACCAATTTTTCAACTCTGTTTATGTGAAATTTAATGAACCGTTTTAAAGGATCTTTATTGCTTTGGTTTTGTCTTTGCCCTTGCTTACATGGAAGAGAGACGATGATATTTGTTGCAAACGTTTTACGTGGTTGATTCTTGAGGCAGTCTGCTCCCACTAAATCGCTCACCTCAATAAAAAGTCTTTTGAAAAGGCCCTGGGGGTATGAAGAGATTGATTAGATCAGATTAAGAATAATGACATAAACATCATCACTAGTTTTAAACATTCTTCCTGATTTCCTCATTATCAGAACTGTGAACATTTCACAGCCTTCGTCATTAAAAAACAAACAAATTCTAACATAATTGTCATAATTTATTTAGTAAGTTATCTACATCGGTGTATTTTTAGGATGCTGTTTCCGAATTACTCCCATAAGTTTGGTAAAAATGCTTCCCTGGAGAGTTGTGTGCTAAAAACTGTTTTGGTCATGTGACAGGCTAGTCAAACACAAATTTGATTGATTAGGGCTCAGGCAAGGGTTAGGGCTGTGGTTAGGGTTATGGATAGCTTCGTGGTTATGGTTAGGATTGGGATTAGGGTTTATGTAAAACCGTTTTTTTTGTTGCTGCAAAACCGTAATAACAAAAGTTATGTGATATTTTTTTTAGGAGAGCGAATTAGTAAAAGCCGAGGCAGTCATTCAATCTTTTAAGATGATGGGTTTTTGATGTTGTATTCTCCGTAATATTATTGGCTTAACGACTATTTTGAACATTGACTCCATAAAGTAAGTGAGTTCCCTACTTACAATTACATCTCATTCCCTCAGCTGACATGGTACTATACCGGAAGGAATATATAGATGACACCACAGGATCGGGGTTGTTTGCAACATCAAAGATAAAAAGCAGCACAAACATTATTAAAACTAGTAATATGGTGACTTCCCTGGATTCCAACTTTTATAAAATGTGTTGTAGTCAGTGCCTGTGTGAATCATCATCATTGAGGCGCTGTTCCAAATGTAAGCACATGCGTTATTGTTCAGAAAAATGTCAGCGAGAAGGCTGGGAGATACATAGATCTGAGTGTGGGGGCTTGTGTCAAGTTCCATCATCGAGTCATGTTCCTTCACTGATACGGCTATGTGCTCTACTTTTGTCAACATCAGAGCTGAAGAAAAAATTTTCTATTTCCAGTTTGATGAAACATGAGAATATTGAGAATGACCAAATCCAGGAATACTACCCATTTGTTCTCAAAGGTGTAACTGAGATGCTAAAAGGCTCTTCATCAGCAGATCCTGTTGAAATTTATGAGTTGTACAATAAACTTGTTGTCAATCTTTTTACATTAGAGGATGGTCAATTGAAGACAATTGGATCTGCCCTTATTCCTGAGATATCTAAGATCAATCACTCTTGTGAACCAAATTGTGTTTTATCATTTAACGGTAGAACCGCCTACATTACAGCAATCAGAGAAATTCCTAAAGGAACTGAAATCACGATTTCATACATTCCACTCCCCAAATCTTTTTTGGCCAGAAAGGAACACCTCCACAGACAATTCAATTTTACTTGCTATTGCTGCTTGTGTTCTAAGCAAAGGGAAGAAAAGGTTGATCACATGTTGATGCGAGAATGTCCTGGTTGCCAGACTCACTCCCATCCTTGCATCGATCTAGAGAATGATGATTTGACATGTCCTTCTTGTGGAAGTTCATTGCTAAAATCTTTGAAAGTGAATGATCTTGTTTTGAAAAACTTTGATTCTGCAATATCAACTAGAGCACAACAAGATGTTGAAATAATCAATCATCTAGTGGAGGACACAGAAACTCTGATTCTTGAAAAGCATTGGGAGCCAGCTTTAAGAGCTGGACTAAAGGCAACAGTTGGGTTGATGGATTGGGCACAGCTTTATCCATCAACTGGATTGTTCATTGCTAAACTGGGTAAGCTTTACCTGGAACAGGGATACTCCGATAAAGCTGTCTATATTGACAATATTAATAGAGCTATTCAAATGTTCGACATTTCGTTAAAGTGTTTGTCGCTGTCATTGTCACGCAATCATGAACTGTTTCTTGAAGTAGAACGCCTTTATCGATTTACCCAAGAAATGTTACAAAAACAATTATGACTTTATTTGTCACCTTGACGCAAAGTAATTTTGTTGAAGCTTCTGTGGAATTTTGTATTGTTGATGTTTTTTATCAATCTTTTATTTATTCCTGATGACATGCAGAGGGTTTGGCCAGAAAACTGATCATTATGAATTGTTCACATTTTACGTCCTATTTTCACATTCTATGACTTATTTTTGAGCCAGTTTTCCCTGGCCCAGGCCCCTTCTGTAACAATCCAACCATTGACACAGTAAATTTAGAGGTAGCTTGTAAAAAAGAAGTGATAATTGCTTTCAGGAATTATAGTATTAGAATTATCAACAGTATCAGGAGTTATAATTTCATTTTAAAATCTAACCTGTAATATTTTAATAGCAAGGGCAGACCCCTGTCATGTTTATCAAGCAGGTAATCACATTTTCACATTTACATCACGATATTCCGTCAGTTATCTCCTGAATTTATTTTTTTGCCTAATAATTTGCTCAATATGCCTAATATTAATTTGCCTAAAATTGTTAAAATTGTTAAAAATCACTAATTCTAGGTGGTGATCTGTGGGTTTCGGAGCTACAGGAATGAAGTGGTCGTGGAACCATTCCATCCTCACCATAACTGTGTTGTGGGAAGGAACGGATCTGGAAAATCTAACTTTTTCTTGGGTAAGATTTGGCTTTTATTTACCATTTTTCATAATTCTATCACAGTTCAGCTAATCTGTCAAGATTCTTTAAAAATGGCATTATTTTCAAAGCTAATACTTTATGAACCATGATTCTCTGCAGCGATCCAGTTTGTGCTGAGTGATGAGTTCAGTCACATGAGACCAGAACAACGTCAGCAACTTCTCCACGAGGGTAGTGGACCACGTGTAGTTAACGCGTATGTGGAGATAACGTTTGATAACACTGATAACAGGATACCAATAGAGAAGGAGGAGGTCACTATTAGACGAGTTATTGGTTTTAAGAAGGATCAGTACTTCCTCGATAAGAAGAATGTCACGTGAGTCATTTTGTTGTTTTTTTTATAGTGTTAACCGTTTTGTTTTGTTTTACTGATTTTCTTTCCAGAGATTTTGAAAAAGGTTTTATCTTTCGAAAAATGAAGAAGAATTATTATACTGAGCCTGTGCTATTTATTTTGTATTGACAAAGCGATCTTTCTCAGGAAGACAGATGTGATGAATCTGCTTGAATCTGCTGGATTTTCCCGAAGTAACCCCTACTACATCGTGAAACAAGGCCGAATAAACCAGATGGCTGTTGCACCGGACAGTCAGCGATTGAAGTTGCTGAGAGAAGTAGCTGGTACAAGGGTTTATGATGAGAGGAAGGAGGAGAGTTTGGGTATTTTGAAGGTGCGAATAAATGCATTCTTAGCATCTTAGATATGTTCTTGTTCCTATAATCTTTATCATTTCTCTTTATCTTTTCTTATTTTTTTTGTCATAGAATAGTGATCTGTGGTTTGTCATCGAGGAAACAGTAAAGAACTCAGATTTATCATATAAGTTGGTGAATGTCCCAATAACTAACACTATCCCCCAGGACACAGAAGGAAAGATAGAAAAGATAGACGAGTTTCTGCAGTACATTGAGGAGAGACTAAAAACTCTCGAGGAGGAAAAAGAAGAGCTGAAGGAGTATCAGAAATGGGATCGAATGCACAGGTAGGAATGAACAATCCACAGGCAGGAATGAACAATGCACAGGTAGGAATGAACACATATAGGAATGAACATGTATTGTAATCAAATTCAGTTTCAGTCGTCCGATTACAGCTAATGAATTACACCGTATACTAAATTCTCAGGTCACTTGAGTACACCATGTACGATAAGGAATTAAGAGAGGTTCGGGATAAGTTGGAGTCGCTAGATCAGCAGCGGCTCGAGGAGGGAGACAGGACGAAAGACTTTACAATCCACCTTTCTACCACTGCCAACGAGATTAAATTCCTAGAAAGGGATCTGAAGGAGCTTGAGATTAAGGTATCTAACACCGCAAATATGCGTGATCATATTTTAACATGGATCCAAGATTTTTATTTATTTGATTAATTTAAAGGATGACTAATTATGTATTAATTAATTATGTATTCTTCAGACTGCGTCTACTCGAAGTGAGCGAGATCAGTTGGCTGATGAACGTCAACTTCAAATCAGACAGAGAGCCAAGCTAGAACTCGATCTGAAGGATCTAGATGAGATATGTAATGATGATTTAGCCACCAAGGTAGGTCACAGTACGATCCATTACCTTGGAACAGATATATTGGGAGGGGGGTGATGCAACGTCAATTAATGTCAGTATTCCATAAAAACCCCAAACTGACATTGACATTAATTGACATTAATTGACATTAATTGACATTAATTGACATTAATTGACATTAATTGACATTAATTTGTCTTGAAATTTGAGATTATCATTATTCGATAAATATTCAAGATATTCACGTCTATGTAAGTTAAACCGGTTCAAAAAAACAAAATGTCCTTAAATAATTATGAGTATGTTTTTATCTGTTGATCCTGAGGTTCAAAGACCACCAAAAAAATTTCAGCTTCCAACTCTTCCATCTTCGGTCCCCACCGGCCACGCCCATATTTTATTGGTTTCTTATACAGGTAAAATATCTAGAATCGGCTTTTTTAGTATGAAGGAGTAATGTTAGCTGTTTAAGATTCGTTATTCAAATATAAATGTCATGAAGGCATTTCGTTTAATGTGGGTTTTAAGTTCTGATGATGTTGAGAACCACGCCCTTGGATGGCCACGCCCATTTAAGAAAATTAAATTTAGGAAAACCGTATTATATTAGTTTTATTGTTTAATGATCTGAATTTTTTTCACATTTCACATTTCCATATGTGATAGTAGTGAATAAATTGATGATATAAACGTTCTAAAGTGCTAAAAATATGGTAGAACTACATAATCTCTGGTCGAAAAATATCGTGTCAATTAATGTCAGTATTCCAAAATTTTGCAAAACTGACATTGACATTAATTGACATTAATTGACATTAATTGACATTAATTGACGTTGCATCACCCCCATTGGGAGAATTAGTAGAACCAGAGTCATTGGTATGATTGGAATTGAGCAGACTTTACATTTGTTGCATCAGCTGTTTGCCCAGTTAATGTTCGAGATGAGTTAAATGTTTTAAGTTATGTTTTAAGTTGACACCCATTACCCATTTAACCGACACTTCTCTTTTCAGGGTACCTCAGCGGAGGAGCTAGCCCAGGTCGAAGAGCAGATCAAGACAGCACAAGAAGCACTCAACCAAGTAGTTCCCCAGTTCCACGAACAGAAGAATCTAGAAGAATCCTGCAACTCTCAGCTGAGGATCAACGAGCAGAGAAGGACGGAGCTTTACGCCAAGAAGGGTGGGTTTTCTTTTAAGTCTTGTGTTTAATGATTATTTTGTTTGGTTGTTTATTTTGAACGTAAATTTAAAAGAGAAAAGTAGCTTGGAACGCTAGACCCAGCTCAGGTAGGAAAACATATTGTTTTAGAGCTTAATTTTATTATTTTTTGGTGAACAGGAAGAAATCTGGAATTCACGGATCAAAAAAAGAGAGATGAGTGGATAAGTAGTGAGCTGAAAACGTACGGATCAAATCTCTCTGACAAGGAGGAGCAAACCAAGACTGTTGAAAAGGAGGTTACAGACACTAAAGAAAAGATAGAGAAGATAACAGAGGATATAAAGGAACGAAGTGAGAATCTTGAGGAAAGAAAGAAGGAAATAGAAGAGACGAACAAGGTTCATTTTACGCTGAATTAATTTCAGATGTACCAAATCTTATAGCACTTACGATTCATTGTTATTTATAACCCTGAGGCCTGATGTGGTACCTTGTAGAAGATATTATGAAATCGAAAATTTCTAGTAGACCAAATGAGTTGGGTAGTTAACAACTTTCCAATATCTCTAAAAGTTACAAACATTTCTCCAGGAGCTGGGAGAAGCGAAGATTAAAAGAGACGAGGTTCAAAACAAACGAAAGGACCTGTGGAGACAGGACAGTAACTTTGAGCAGAGTCTCAATACCAGCAAGGAGCAGCTGGACGAGGCTGAGCGTCAACTCCGCTCCACAGTCAGCAAGGTCAGTCAATTCAATAAGAATCTGGTACAATTTTTGTGAATTTAACTTTTTTTAGGTACAAATACAATGTGTAGACAAATAAATAGTAAATGTGTAAACACATTTAAAATCTTTAAATAAATCATGCGTGAATCTGTGATAATAGGTTTAAAAACAGAACAGTGTGAGACCCATACTCATACTCTATTTGAATTTTTGTAAATTAGGTATTCTTCGCAGATTACCAGTATCCGATCCTTATCGGAAAATATATGACGTATAAATAATGATAAATAAATTCTAACATTTATTACACGCTTTCTATAGAATGATAATAGTGATATCGCTTATTTATATTATCAACTATTTATTTCATCTATGTTCCACCTACTACCAAACAATTTTGTCATCCGGTTTTCTGTTTTGCTTTTCATCCGTTTCCCTGGTTTATTATTGGAAATGATTACCTCCGGACAGTACAAAACCTTCTTATCCGCCGCTTTCAATCTGACAAACAAATCCTTGTGTTCTAGATCTGCTAGATCGTTGCTCCACCCACCTACCTCCACCATATCACGTGTTCTGACCAGGAAATATTTTGAGGTTAGTTCACATCTGACACAGGTCGGAAAATTTAGGATTGTTTCGTTGACTTCTTCACAAGTTTCGGGAGATACAAATAATCTTCTTGTTTTTCTTTCATTCCTTGTGAGGTACCCAAAGTTGATGAAGCCTGTATCTGCTTTGTATGAAGAGTCAGCTCCTCCCACCAGACTTGCATCTGTTGTGTCTAAAATCTCCGCAAGCAATTCTAAATTTGTCTTCTCGGTAAACATGTTGTCATCGTCCAATAATAGGAGATATTTTGTGTTGACGTGTTTTAATGCTGAGTTTTTACCCTGAGCCATCCCAATTTCTTCCTCCTCCCCAATGATATACTTCAGATTAGGACAACTCAAAATCTCCTCCATGATTTCGTCAGATAACTCCCCAACACCACCATCATACGCGATGACTGACAGATTCTGGTACTTTTCAAACTTTCTGATTGACTGAATCATCCTCAGTACCAACTCAGGCCTACGAGCAGTATTGATGACAACAGTTACACACTGAGATACATCATGACACCTTTCTACTTTCTCCGTCGGGAGGAGGGCCACAGGGACAGCTACCTTGTTGATCCCACAAGCAGGGAAATCACAGTTAGTTTCTGCTTTAGGAAAAGGAAGAAGCAGATATTTGACACTCTCCTGGAAGTAGTTCTCTTCAATAAGATTTATTCTAGAAGCTTCTTCATGGCAACTAGAGAGAGATACAGGATCACGGTTTTCAGGGCTAAGGTTAGGCACCAGTCCTTCGTTAGACTTGCTTATCGGTGAAATACATCGTTCTTCATTACCCTGCGTATACAGATGCTGGTATACCTTACTGTTCTTCTGGAGTTGCAGGTACGAACCATTAACAAGATCCAACCTGATAGTGATCGCTGAGCTGCAGTCTCCGAGCATTAACCTGGTCTTCCCCATTCCTAGCTGCACACATTTCCCCTCAATCCCGCCACCGTTACTCCCCATACTACCGAACACCAACCTCCCATCTGGTAACAACTGGAAATACTGCTCCTCCCGAGGGTTACAGAACATGACTCGTAACCTACCATCCGGAGAGGAGCCCACACATTTGCCTTCGTACCACAGCTGTATTCGGTGGGATAGCACCGGAGTGCTGGCCAGAAAGAGGTGAAACTTTTTGTAATCCTCAAATTGTAGTCTGGTGTGTGCAAAGAAGAGAACTAAAGTGACGAGTAGAGCTAGTCCGAGAAACAGCCGTTTTCTTTCCGGTAAGGTGGCTGTCAGCTGTGTTATCATTGTGTTACATAACTTGAACTGAAAAATTGTGACACTTTTTATAAGAGTGTATAATGCATCTTCAGTCAAAGTGAAAGCGCGTATATCCTTACATAAGTTAAAACTGAAACATAGTTAAAATACGAAATCACAAAATACCCAAAATACACCCCGACACAAATATGCATGATAAATGGGTTATGTGTAGCAATTAACATCCTCACAAGTACAAGTGGATAGAGTTTCCCCTTGTTAAACTTTCCATCTTGTTGTAATTGTTAGTGGTTTGTATTTTATTCCAAACAGTAGCCATCCTCACTAATCTGTTATTTTGGTGTGTAAACTTATGCTTACCATGATAATTGAAACGGTACCAGTCATTGGAGCCAAATAAATATACAGGGTGGGCCAAAAGTCAGTACCCATACGTTGGCCTTTATAGCTCAGTCACTGAGTGCCCAATTTAAATACTTCTTTCTGGTATGACTTAGTACCACCACTGGTTCGAGGAATTTGTCAACTCGAAAAATATTCGCGTTCATTTTTTTCAAATAGAGGTTCATTTTCACATTTATTTGATAGTTTGGATAGTCGGATCAAGCTAAATGTTATTGAATTGTGTTTGGCCATTCGAATTACGTTTGTCCTGAAAGAATTAGAACTGTAGCTTCTCAGATGACCGAGATATGAAGCATAACAAGTTTATTCATTACGTGTGATCAGGTGATTGGTTTACCTAATCACGTGATAAGGTGACCCCGTTAACTACCCCGTTAAACATTATGGGAATTGTTAAGGGTGCCCAATTAAGGTGTCGTGTCACGGTGTCACATAATCACCCAGTCAATTTTGTTAACGAGATACAGAACATGCTTGATAACTTCGTCATTTCTAATCCGTTTTGCCTCATGTTTTTAGATCATATGCAACATTTGACAATCTACCGTCTCTGAAAAAATTAGGCGTTCAGCATGTTCAGAGAAAACAATATAGGTGTTTTAATATTGAATGGGCGTGGTCTAAAATATTCGAATTTTCAAATTTTGACGACGGAATCCTCGAACCAGTAAGTACAGTATGCCATCTGCAAAGCAACAGCTCTCAAATATAAAACACGGCGGAGCTATTAAGGCCAACGTATGGGTACTGACTTTTGGCCCACCCTGTATTTATATATAAATTTAAGTTTATAAACTTAAATTTGTCATAAATCATAATATGATGTATGGATCCTTCATAAAACACTACCTAAAAATATCTGTTGCTCCTTCATTCCCCATAAAGTAAACATTGACTGGTCTCTATGAGGCCAGTCCTTTAACCATGGACTGACATTTGTCAACACGATTGTCCAAGTTAAAGAGTTAAAATCGACCTATTAAAATCGATTTGTTCCTTTATAGATGTGGATTCTCGTGGGGAGGTGAGGTACATTTTTTAACTTTAATACAGTAAAACCCCGATTTACCGCGGCCATTTCCTTTTCCCCGAATAGGGCTTAACATGTATAATGTAAACAAACAAACCCCGATTTACCGCGGATGTTTCCTTTGCCCAAAACTCCGCGGGGGAACTCGGGGTTTTACTGTAGTGAGGTTCTGTTTAGTACAAGAAAGAGGTGATGCACATTTTGTAACGCTTGTAACGCTTGTAACTCTTGTAACGCTTGTAACTCCTGCTATCCCCTCTGGAGGTTTAGATTTATTTTCTGAACGAAAGCATAGAAATAACCGAGAAATTGTCCTTGTTATTAACTCATTTTTATGTCTTTTCCTGACCTAAAATTGCACGGGAAATCGATTTAACTTAACTAGGTCTCAGAACCTACAAACACTTCCTTATCCGGGCTCAAAATTGATATTTTACAGTTAATATGAGCAACAAGCAACTTATATTTTGATCTTTCGACTCAACTCATGACCTAGGGGGCTAAGCTGAAACCGAAAGATTAAGGCAATCGTCACCTTAACTGATCGAACAGGTACAACACAATTTTCAGAGAGAAATGTTTGTTGCAACTTGCAATATGTCTATTGCAACTTTGCAACTTGAGCGAAGAGCAGAGTACGAAAACACACGCCTCGGATCGAAATCCCTCGCTCAACAGATTGAAATTGAGTCACTTTATATTCACATTGTTATCGTTACCACAACTTGGCTCGGCAATTTCAAGGTACTATCTGCATCGTAAACACGCGTTCGCCATGATTACGTCATAAACTATAAATAATGTGAACGTGTAACTGTGTTAACGTACAATACGAACCGTGGGGGGGGGGGGGGGGGGGGTTTAAGATAGGCAACCGATCTTGACAGTGTCGAGGTCGCTCCTCCAACTGACTGTGAAGTGTCGGTGATGCTATTTAATTGAAGGACATTTTATTGTTAGGTGAGGAACAGTCACCAAAATGAGTTGCTTACCTGCCGTGTGTCTTCGTACTCTGCTCTTCACTCAAGTTGCAAAGTTGCAACAAACATTTCTCTCTGAAAATTGTGTTAGTACCTATTCGATCAGTTAAGGTGACGATTGCCAAGTTAATCTTTCGGTTTCAGCTTAGCCCCCTATGTCATGAGTTGAGTCGAAAGATCAAAATATAAGTTGCTTGTTGCTCGTATTAACTGTAAAACATCAATTTTGAGGGATAAGGAAGTGTTTGCGGGTTCTGAGACCTAGTTAAATCGATTTCCCGTGCAATTTTAGGTCAGAAACAGTCATCAAAATGAGTTTAATAACAAGGTCGATTTCTCGGTTATTTCTAAGCTTTCGTTCAGAAAATAAATCTAAACCTCCAAAGGAGGTTTAGGATAGCAAGAGTTACAAGCGTTACAAGCGTTACATGATACAAAATGTGCATCACCTCTTTCTTGCGCTGTTAAAGTAAAGAAATGTACCCACCTGTTAAAGTAAACAAATGTACCCACCTCCCTACGAGAATCCACATCTATTAATCAAGTGAAAGGTAAAAAGAACCTAAAGATTATGCGAACATGTAAGGTAACAACAAACGTTAGTAATGTTAATCATGGAATTATACTAATATATACTGTTGTGTAAATTTGAACCTCATGGAGATACAGTCATACGTGTATCTTGACATAGGTAGTTGTAGGTGACATACATTTTAAACGTTCATTATTTACTCAACTTTCAAATGAGCCTATTTCCGTCTTCCACAGTCTATATATCTGGATTGTGGTGGGCAGGTGAAACATATTTTTCCTGACACGTGAACAAATTATCATCCAGCATTGAATAAAATTCCAGAATCAATGTCCCACTAGAATCCACATCTATCAGTGCTTCACCTCTGTTCAATTCCCTGTTTTACTTTGTCTACTTCTTCAGGCGTTTAACAACGGTATAGATGCCATCAAGAAGATTGTACGTGAGAAGAACATCAGTGGCGTGTATGGACCCCTTATAGAGAACTTCAAATGTAACGAGAAGTTCTTCACCGCTGTTGAAGTCACCGCTGGAAACAGGTAACTTAATTGATTAATTACCTAATTGCTAACAATACTACTCCAATATCATCCAGGGATTATTTTGTATCGTCTACTTGAATAACCAATTATATCGTGAACAATTTGTGCTTATTTTAACTATTAATCGTGAATGAATAGTTTGATGTTTCGTCGCCTTCAAAAGTCTCATCGTCACAACATTACTATTTTTATACTGTTACTCATTCAATACAAAATGCACACAAGTAGTTATTATACATGTATTAATTATGTATTGTACTAAATCATGATATGCAATGATTCGGTCTTTGTTTCATTTCCTGAAAGCATATAATCATCGTCACTTCATATTATCTCTATCTTATGTTCCGTCACCTCTATTCACTTGGTTAGTATCAATTTACACCCAACCAATACGTCAATCTACAATTTTAGTGCATGTGATCACAGTGCACATTTAATAGCTGATTGCCCGTCTTTTACAAATGTTCATCAATGACCACTTAGTTACCAAAAACCACAGAAAGCCACCAACACTAGAGTCTAGAAGTGTATAAATCACAGTACAATACTATACGAGATAATGTATCACCTCCCTGTCATTAGCAACATAATCTCAAATATAACTCTAACTAACAGCCCCCACCTTAACAGGCTATTCTACATCATAGTAGACACTGACAAGACAGCTTCACAAATACTGAGCATAATGAACAAGAACAAAATGAACGGTGAAGTTAACTTCCTGCCTCTTAACAGACTCACCTTCAAGGAAGTCCAGTATCCCACATCCAACGTAGGTTTTGTTCAGAATTTATCAAACTAATTGGGGTAATTTACTAATTAGTTACTGTAATTAGCGAATTAGATATTGAATTATAATCAGACTATTCACACATTCCATCTGGTCACCAGGACGTTATCCCGATGGTAAGCAAGTTGGAGTACAACCAGATCTTCAAACCAGCCATGGAAACAATATTCGGCAAAACTCTCATCTGTCGGAGTCTGGAGATTGCGTCCCAGTACGCGCGTAACGAGCACATGGATTGCATCACCCTTGACGGCGACCAAGTGTCTCGCCGTGGTGCGCTAACTGGGGGGTACTACGACAAGCGTAAGTCTCGTCTGGACTCACAACGCCAGGTGTGGTACTGGCAGGCCAAGTTGGCGGAGGAGGAGACAAACGCTGGCAAGATAAAGGGCGATATGGAGGAAGTGGACTCCGAGCTCTCAAAGCTGGTTGGTACAACTTTGTTTAGGCTATTAGCGCACCAATTAATAATAATATTAAGTAATAATAATTGATTATAATTATCCCGATTATGATCTTTTTAATTGTTTGATATGCAGGTGAAATTATCACGAAGTGTTCGTAAGTTTTCTGCTCTGATAGTATAAATAAAATATAATAACAATCTCTTCTATAAAGGTAAGTGCAGTACAGAAGTTAGAAACAAAGCAGATTCAGCTAAGGGAAACTTATGAGAGACAGAAAATGGATGTTCAGAACCTCAATGTGGAGAAGAAACAGCTTGAAAAGCATCTTGACACCAAGGTAAATTTAGAAGAGAAGTAGTTTTTACTTTTACCTCCTCTTTTTACTTTATAAAATCTTGTGCTGTCTGATTCTTATTTTTCAACGTTTTGCTGGACAGTTTGCAGTATTTTGAAATTGACCCCGAATCTTGTGCAGACCAGATTAAAATTGGCGCTAGATGGAGATCTAACTGCACTGAGAGGCACCGTGGCCTCACTCCAGCAGGAACTGGGAACCGAGCTTCTTTCTCAGCTCACTGAGACTGAACAGGTTTGTACGATCACGTGTCATGATTAATGGTGTGACGTCACGTGTTAATGTGTGATGTAAAGTCTCTTTGAATCTGCTCAACTCCAATTACTTTCTGTCTGTATTATCCACCAGGCGATTTGGAAGGAAATCATATTCTAAATATGATTTATTATCTCTATTTATTCCACTAGCCATGATAGGCAGTGTAATTAATTCAGTTACTGCTAATTATTCGAGAATTTCCAAAAGTATTGTTTGAATATGCTCAACTCCAATTACTTCCTGTCTGTATTATCCACCAGGTGATTTGGAAGGAAATCATATTCTAAATCTGATTTATTATCTCTATTCATTCCACTAGCCATGATTGGCAGTGTAATTAATTTAATTACTGCTAAGTATTCGCGGTAATTGTACAATTTGTGTATTTCAGGAAGAAGTTAAGAAACTGAATAAGGAAATCGCCTCTCTTCAGTCTCAAATTAGAGATTCTCTCGAACGAAGGAGTAAATTAGAAGTATGTAAAAGAATTCGTTCTGCTATTTTCCGTCATCTCTTCTGTTTCCGCGCCAATGTTAATTAACCAAGGTGTAATTTTGTGTGTATAAATTAGAATGGTCGGAGATAACACCACAGAGACAAAATCCTCGACGTGCTAGATTACTCAGTGGTTATTCATATGCAATCTAGTCTGTGAATTTAATTGACAACACTTTAGGTAGAGAAGAACATGTACGAAAATCTGTTGCACAATAACTTATTCAAAAGAAGAGATCAGCTGTTGAGTAATATTGATGAGTTGGGAATGAGTGAGCGAAAACAGGATTATGATAGTAAAAGAGCAGAGTTCTCTCAAGCGACCGAGGGAATGGAATCCACGAAGAAGCGGTAAGGAGTCGCCAATCTTATCCTATTGTTGAAAAGTTCTGGAATAATGCCAAAATAGAACTTATGAAAACTGATACAGCGCTTGATGTTTACACGAAGCGGTGTACAAATAATTCCCGCCTATTGCTATTGCTAGTTTGCGCGCGACTTGTATGAATAAAGGACCTTACTGCGAGTAAAATTTGGCGCTACACGCGTTGATAATTTATTGATTTGTAAAATTCTTTAAACACATTTAAAAACAATTCTAATTTTTTGTTCCAACAGATTAGACTGGCTCGAGAATGAAATGGACGTATACACGAAGAAATGCAAAGAATTGGCGACTCAGATTGAACACAAAACAGGAAAAGAGAGGGAGATTCAGGAAAGCATTGAAGAAGAGAGCAAAAACATGGAGAAAATGGCAAACAAACGAGCTGTAAAGTTACGAAAGGTACTCGCCCTGAAAAATTCACGACTCGTAATTTGCAGAAGTTGACTCATTCCACCACTGTTCTAAACGTTGAATAGTGTATTAAAATACATTTCACTCAGAAAGAGGAAGTGATGAGAAAGATCCGAGAGTTGGGGTCATTACCAGCAGACGCTTTTGAGAAATATCAGAACATGAGTTTGAAGGAGCTGTGGAAGCTCATGAACAAGTGTAACAATGAGCTGAAAAAGGTGTGTTTTATGAAAATTTCTATTTCTAATTGGTGTGTCGAAATGTAGGAACAATGTTGCTGACGCCTGAATGTAAACTCATTTTGGTACATTAGTAAACCACCAACTTTTCAGTACGCTCACGTGAACAAGAAAGCTCTGGATCAGTTTGTAAGTTTCTCGGAACAGAAAGAAAAGCTTATAGAGAGGAAGAAAGAGCTTGATAAGGGATTGGATGCAATCAAGAACTTGATGGACGTTCTAGAGCACAGAAAACACGAAGCCATTCAGCTAACTTTCAAACAGGTACATGTTGTTCCTTAGTCTTCTTATTGAGCGAATAATAATAATCATATTCTTAATTCATTTTTAGATAAACCAAGCATAAAGAAAGATTGTATAAACATTCCTAAGGTAATGTATATAAATAACCGACTGTCATATTTTCAGGTGTCCCACTTTTTCACAGATATCTTCAAGAAGCTAGTCCCTGGCGGTACCGCTACTCTAGTCATGAAACGTTCAGAGTTCGACGAGGAGGGCAGTTCAGTCCCTCTCGTTGAGCAATTCACAGGAGTTGGCATCAAGGTCTCCTTCAGTGGAAAGGTTTCGGAGACAAAGGAAATGCAGCAGTTATCTGGAGGACAGAAGTCTCTGGTTGCTCTGACTCTGATATTCGCTATCCAGAAGTGTGATCCTGCTCCCTTTTACTTGTTTGATGAGATCGATCAGGCGCTGGATCCTCAACATCGTAAAGCTGTCGCAGGTAAAACTTAAACGTCTCGTCACCTCCATTGACTTATGAATTAAAGAGTTCTATTGATTAAACCAGTAATTTCCGATGAAAACTTCGATGACATTTCTTACAAATATTTTTCTATAAACCAACTTTAATTTCAGAGTTGATAAGCAAACAGTCGGACACATGCCAGTTCATTACAACAACATTCCGTCCTGAACTTGTCCAGGTAACTTATTTCCGACAATTCGTTTAACCCAGTGAGACGAAAATGGTTCACAATCAAGGATGTTATATTAAGGAATAACGCGCATAGTTTTACTGCTGATGACTTTGCCATGTCCTATATCATGACTGCTTACACTTTCCCTTTCCCAGGCAGCAAACAAGCACTACGGAGTGATCTATCGCAGCAAGGTGTCCCACATCCAGCAAGTTACCATGGAGGAAGCTCTGGACTTCATCGAGGATGAAGCACCTGACAAATAAACACCCAACAAACTGATCGAAGTGATTTCGAGTTTATTTTGACGGACCATCTCTAATTGGATTTGAGAGATTGATTAGATACCCAACTCATTTTGCCCTTCGTACCACAGCTGTATCCGGTGGGATAACACCGGGGGTGCTGGCCAGAAAAGAGGTGAAACTTTTTTGTAATCCTCAAATTGTAGTCTGGTGTGTGCAAGAAGAGAACTAAAGTGACGATAGAGCAGTCCGAGAACAGGCCAGTTTTTCGTTTTCCGGTAAGGTGGCGTCACTGTGTTACCATTGTGGAAGTTGATGAAGCCTGTTAATCTGCTTGGTATAAAAGTCAGCTACTCCCACCAACGTGCATCCGGTTGTGTTCTAAAATTCCGCAGCATTCTAAATTTGTCTTCTCGGTGAACATGTTTTCATCCGTCCAATAATAGGAGATAGTTTGTGTTGACGTGTTTTTAAATGCTAGTTGTTTTACCACCCTGACCATCCCAATTTCTTCTCCTCCCCCTTGATATACTTCAGATTAGGACTACGCAAAATCTCCTCCATGGTTTCGTCAGATAATTCCCCAACAAACCATCAAACGCGATGACTGACAGATCTGGTACTTTTTCAAACTTTCTGATTGACTGAATTCATCCTCAGACCAACTCAGGCCTACGAGCAGTATTGATGACACCATTACACACGGAGAACATCCATGACCACCTTTCAACTTTCATCCGTCCGGGAGGAGGCACATGGACAGCACCTTTTGATCCCACAAGCAGGGAATTCACAGTTAGTTTCTTGCCTTTAGGAAAAGGAAGAAGCAGATATTTGAACACTCTCCTGGAAGTAGTTCTCTTCAAATAAGATTGATTCTAGAAGCCGTCTTCATGGCACTAGAGAGAGAATACAGGGATCACGGTTTCAGGGCTAAGGTTTTTAGGCACCAGTCCTTCGTTAGACCATGCTTATCGGTGGTAATACATCGTTCTTCATTACCCTGCGTAATAACAAGATGCTGTATAACCTTAACGTTCTTCTGGAGTTTGCAGGTACGAACCATTAACAAGATCCAACCGGATAGTGATCGCTGAGCTGCAGTCACCGAGCATTAACATGGTCTTCCCCATTCCTAGCGCAAACACATTCACCTCTATCCCCGCCACGTTACTCCCCATAATCCCGAACACCAACCTCCCATCTGGTAACAACTGAAATACTGCTTCCTCCCGAGGGTTTACAGAACAGGACGTGTAACCTACCATCCGGAGAGGAGTCCCCACACATTTGCCTTCGTACCAACAGCTGTTATACGGTGGGATAAAACCGGGGGTGCTGGCCAGAAAGAGTGAAACGTTTGTAATCCTCAAATTGTAGTCAAGGTGTGTGCAAGAGAGAGAACTAAAGTGACATAGAAGCTAGTCCGAGAAAACAGCCGTGTTCTTTTTCCCGGTAGGGTGGCTGTCAGCTGTGTTTCCAGTGTTGTAAGGATGAAGCCTGTATCTGCTTTGTAGAAAGATCAGCTTACTCCCACCAGAATTGCATCTGTTGTGTCTAAAATCTCCGCTTAGCAATTCTAAATTTGTCTTCTCGGTGAACATGGTTGTCATCCGTCCACTAATAGGGAGATTTTGTGTTGAACGTGTTTTAATAATGCGGATTTTTTTACCCGGATCCATCCCCCTATTTTCGTTTGGTCCTCCTCCCCAGGATATACTTCAGATTAGCAAACTCAAAATCTCCTCCATGATGTCGTCAGATAATTCCCCAACACCACCATCATACGCATGACTGGACAGATTCTGGACTTTTCAACTTCTGATGACTGAATCATCCTCAGTACCAACCTCAGGCCTACGAGCAGTATTGATGACAACCAGTTTACTCAACACACTGAGATACATCATGCACCTTTATACTTTCCTCCGTCGGGAGGAGGGCCACAGGGACAGCTACCTTTTGTTGAACCCACAAGCAGGGAAATCTCAGTTAGTTTGCTGCCTTTAGGAAAATGAAGAAGCAGATATTAGACCACTCTCCTAGAAGTAAGTTCGCTTCAATAAGATTTATTCTAGAAGCTTCTTCATGCAACTAATGAGAGGATACAGAACAAACGGTTTTCAGGGCAAGGTTGAGGCCACCATTCCTTCGTTAGACTTGCTTAGCGGTGAAATACATCGTTCTCATTACCCTGCGTATACAGATTGCTGGTCATACCTTACTTGTTTCTTCTGTGTTTGCAGGTACGAACCATTAACAAGAACCAACCCTGGATAGTGATCGCTGGAGCTGCAGTCTCTCCGAGCATTAACCTGTCTTCCCCATTCCTACTGCACACATTTCCCTCAATCTCCGCCACCGTTACACCCCCATACTAACCGAACACCAACCTCCCAACTGGTAACAACTGAGAAATACTGCGCCTCCCGAGGGTTTCAGAATCCTGACGTTGTCACCTACCATCCGGAGAGGAAGCCCACACATGTGCCTTCGTACCCACAGCTGTATTCCGGTGGGTAACACCGGGTGCTGGCCAAAAGAGGTTGAAACTTTTTGTATCCTCAAATTGTAGTCTGGTGTGTGCAAAGAAGAGAACTAAAAGTGACGAGTAGAGCTATCCGATAATCAGCCCGTTTTTCTTCCGTGTAAGTGGCAGTCAGCGTGTACCATTGTGTAAGTAGATGAAGCCTGTAATCTGCTTTGGTATAAAGAGTCAGCTACTCCCACCAGACTTGCATCAGTTTTGTCTAAAACACCGAAGCAAATTCAAATTTGTCTTCTCGTGAACATGTTGTCATCGTCCAATATAGAGAATTTTGTGTTGACGTGTTTTTTTAATGCCGATTTTTTACCCTGAGCCATCCCTCATTTCTTTCCTGCCCCCCAATTGAATACTCAGAATTTAGGACAACTCAAATCTCCTATTCCAGGATTTCGTTCAGATAATGCCCCAACACCACCATCATACCGATGACTGACAGATTCTGGTACTTTTCAAAACTTTTCTGATTGACTGAATCTTCCTCAGTACCAACCCAGGCCGACGAGCAGTAATGAAATGACAAATCTTTACACACATGAGATACCATCATGACCACCTTCGACTTTCCTCCGTCGGGATGAGGCAAAGGGACAGGCATACCTTGTTGATCCCACAAGCAGGGAAATCCAGTTAGTTTCTGCTTTAGGAAAAGGAAGAAGCCATATATGGACACACTCTATCGCCTGAAGTAGTTCTCTTCATAAGATTTATTCTAGAAGCTTCTTCATGCACTAGAGAGAGATACAGGATACGGTTTTCAGGGCTAGGTTAGGAACCAGTCCTTCGTTAGACTTGCTTATCGTGAAATACATCGTTCTTATTAACCCTGCGTAGACAGATGCTGGTATACCTTACTGTTCTCTGGAGTTGCAGTACGAAACCAGTAACTAGATCCAACTGATAGTGATCGCTGAGCTGCAGTGCTCTCTCCGAGCATTAACCTGGTCTGCCCCATTCCTACTGCACACATTTCCCCTCAATCCCGCCCCCGGTACTCCCCATACTACCGAACACCAACCTCCCAACTGTAACCACTGAAATAACTGCTCCGCCCGAGGGTTACAACATGAACGTGTAACCTACCATCCGGAGAGGACCCACACATTGCCTCCGTACCACAGCTGTTCCGGTGGATAACACCGGGGTGCGGCCAGAAAGAGGTAAAAACTTTTGTATCTCAATTTAGTCTGGTGTGTTGCAAAGAAGAGACTGAAGTTGACGAGTAGAGCTAGCCGAAAACAGCCCGTATTTCTTTTCCGGTAAGGTGGCTGCAGCTGTGTTACCATTGGTAAAGTTGATGAAGCCTGTATCTGCGTTGTAATAGAGTCAGCTACCCCACCGAGGACTTGCCATCTGTTGTGTCTAAATCTCCGCAAGCACTGTCTAAATTTGTCTTCTCTCGGTTGAACATGTTGTCACTCCATAATAATAGAGAATATTTTGTGTTGACGGTGTTTTAATGCTGAGTTTGTAACCCCTGACCATCCCAATTTCTTCCTCCTCCCCAATATATCTTCAGATTTAGGACCAACTCAAAATCTCCTCCATGATTTCGTCAGATAATTCCCCTACACCACCACATACATACGCGATGACTGACAGATTCGGGTACTTTTCAAACTTTCTGATTGACTGAAATCATCCTCAGTACCAACTCAGGCCTAACGAGCAGTATTGATGACAAACAGTTACACACTGAGAGACACCATGACACCTTTCTACTTTCCTCCGTCGGGAGGAGGCACAGGGAACGCTACCTGGTTGAATCCCACACAGGGAAGTCACAGTTAGTTTCTGCTTTTAGGAAAAAGAAGGAAGCAGATATTTTAACACTCTCACTCTCCCTCCTGGAAGTAGTTTGCTCTTCAATAAGATTATCTAAAAGCTTCTTCATGGCACCTAGAGAGAGATACAGGATCACGGTTTTCACAGGGCTAAGGTTAGGCACCAGTCCCTTCGTTAGGACTGCTTATCGGTGAAATACCTCGGTCTTCATTACCCTGGTATACGAGAATGCTGGTATACCTTACTGTTCTTCTGGAGTTGCAGGTACGAAACCATTACCAAGATCCCAACCTGATAGTGATCAGACGCTGAGCTGCAGTCTCCAGCATTAACCGTGGTCTTCCCCATTCCTAGCTGCACACACATTTCCCCTCCCTCCCGCCACCGTTACCCCCATACTACCGAACCCCAACCTTCCATCTGGAACAACTGGAAATACTGCTCCTCCCGAGGGTTACAGAACTTGACGTGTAACCTACCATCCCGAGAGGAGCCCACACAGTTGCCTTCGTACCACAGCTGTATCCGGTGGGATAACACCGGGGTGCTGGCCAGAAAGAGGTGAAACTGTTTGTAATCCCAATTGTAGTCTGGGTGTGTGCAAAGAAGAGAACTAAAAGTGACGAGTAGAGCTAGTCGAGAAACAGCCGGTTTTCTTTCCGGAAGGTGGCTGTCACTGTGTTACCATTGTGGTAATTTGATGAAGCCTGTATCTGCTTTGTATAAAGAGTCAGCCTTCTCCCACAGACCTTGCA